ATTCGCCAGGCGGCAGGAAATTGGATCTGTCGGCACAGAAATCAAGATCAACGAAAAAGAATTTGTTGGTGATACCTCCTATATACGAAAAAAAAAAACAAAAAGTATAAATATTGTACTCTTATGATAAATTTCGTGACGTTGAACGATGGTCCAATTTCACAGGATTCAGGTATCACATAATTGTTTAAAAAATAACGTCAGAAGCTTTACGAATTATGTCTCGACCGACAAAATGGACACTTAATAATATAACATAAAAATCAACATGCGGAAATTCTCCCATACTAAATTTTCAAATTCACAGGATCCAGGTATCATAAAATTGTACAACAAATAATGTCAGAGGCTTTACGAATTGCTTCTCGACCGACGAGATGGACACTTCGACTAAGAAGAGTTCCATTGTTCAAAGGACGAAACGTTTCAATTTCAACGCGAGAGGAACGAACATTTCATTTCCCTACGAGCCAGTAAACGCAAATGGAATGTAATATGTCCGCTTGGACAAAGGAACGCGACGAGTATTCGAAGTTTCGGAATGCACAGAACTCGGTACGCGTTGCACCTATCACATGTCCACGCGAATCGGGTTCGAAAAATACTCTGCCAAGTTCGCTACGCTTAAGAAAACTTTCTCCTACCCTCGCTATGTATAAGTATATATTTACAGAATTGCGTTACGTTAAACTCTATTAATAGTACGTAGTTTAGACGATAGATATTTTCAGTGCAATATTTCGCCCGACGTTAGACGTTACCCTAATTAACAAGAGACTGGTCCTTTCCGCGCGGAGATCGATATTAACCCTCGATGGAGTCGATATCAGAACGTTTTTACGGCGGATGCCTTACAAAGAAAGACGTTCGTGCATTTCGAAAGCTCACGTGCGTTCAATGCGAACGAAAATAAGTCGAATACTCGACAGGTGTCCCGTCAGTTCAACCATTCGAGTGTAGAACACGTTCTTTACCTAAACGAATTTTTAATGAAAAGTTTGCACAGTCGTTTGACTTGTACTCATGCTTACCGTTCTAGTTCGAAGAACTGCAGAAGGAACAGGCGAGTCTAGAAAGAGAGCAAAAGACTGTTCAATTCTAAATCGATTTTTTCTTAAATCACTATCAAGTTTTTAGAAAATCTATCAACCATTTAGCGACTATTTCTTCCATCGATTTTTTGAGTCAATCTTTTTCGAAGCGATTTTAATTAAATTTTGAAAAAATGTACTTCGATTTTGTTGCATTTTACGTAATTTTATGCGTCAATTTAATATCGATATAAAATTCCGTTTTTCTGCGCTCGAATGGTCAACGAAGAACGAAAAACTAGAAAAAGGAAATTGTTTCTTGCTCTACGGCGAACACACGTACATTCATACGTACACGCACTCACGCGCAGAATCACTTAGAACTAGCATGACGAAATTCTGACGTGAACTTACGCATATATCTGACGGTGTCGATAAAATTACGGTTCTTTACGTGCCGTAACCGATAGCCTACGTAGAAAATATAAATGTATTTATATGCAAAATAAATCCGATTTTCTCTTCTATTCCCCTCCTTTGTGTTTGCAATATTTGCATCGCCATCGATTCCCCGCTTTCCTCTTTTGTAGCTTGCGGTTCAGGCGTACGATTCTTTACAATTCCGTCCATTCCTGGACATGTACATGCGTAGGTATGCAATGTACGTACTTTACAGTGGTCTCGTGGAAAGGGTCAAGCATCTACAGCACGCTGATACGAGGATTGCTTCTCTGAACCTGTCTGAATGTTAGCTCGAAAATATTTAAGGGAATTATTATTTCTTGATTTACAAAGTTTGAAGAATGGTTAAATTTGTTGCTGAATGTTTATGTGTACTTCTTGTGGATTCAAATATTAATTTAGTTTTAAGTCTACCTTTCACCATTTGTTTATAGATTGTATTATGTAACTGATACCTCACGAGTTTTACGACAGAGGTTGTTGATGATTCATTATTAATTATACATTCTCGATACTATAAGGTAAGATAAATATCTTTTTTATCACAACAAATGTGTCTTGCATAATTAATTATTAATTACATATTCTCGATGCTGTAAGAAACAATAGATATTCTCAAATGTATCACAATTATTATGTCTTGTATAGTGTGAAATATTATGAAAAAATACTGCTTTTAATCGCGAACAAATTTATGAGGTTTAATATTTCACATTCTTGTCAAATGATAAAAATTGATGACACTGGATGTACACCAGGACTCTTCGACCGTGTTTCAACTGACTGCAGAAGCTTTGCCATGTATTCCACGAACACCCTGTGCAGGCCAGCGATTAACCCTTCAGCGTGGAGGCATTTAAATGCTTGATACCGTATAATTCCCTAAGACTCGAGACAAGGGTACAACAGAAGAGAAATGATTCTTACAGAGCTCACTCGGGCTATCTACTTTCCCTCGCATGAGAAATGGGAAAATCCACTGGCCTTTATGTCGTTTATATAATAAACATCAACGCTGATACATTGTACCAAATATCAAATATGAGTAAGACTGCTGATCTAAGTAAAAATGTCGAATAACAAGTGAAGAATGTTACAGTTTCTAGTCTGTTACTTGTTCAACAAGAATTGCAATCTGAGTTATAATACGTAGCCTGTGAATGTGTATGCAAATTCATATTTTTAATGATACAGATTATTTTATCGGCAATGTAATGTGTGTGCTGTTGTTGACATTAAATATATATATTATAATTTTCCTCATATTTCCACTTGTCATAAATGCATACATATTCACAGTCTGATAGTATGAACTGAAATGTTGTTTCGTGTAAAATAAATGTAGCAAATAAATCACAATAAGACATATAAAAATATCATATCGACAAATAAAAACAATACGAAAAAAAAGTATTTCATATTTAGACCTGGTAGAGGTCTGGTCCAGATAACAAAAACACTATCCTAAAGGGCAGTTTTAAACCAAATTCTCATGCGAGGTACAATGTGAGTAAATCATGGATAATTAAACGAAAGCGCAGTTCCTGAAGCTCCACGTTGAAAGATTATCTCGAACACACATCGCGAACACGTTCGAGTTTCTCGAAGGGAACAAACGCCCGCAGCGAAGAGGGGGATGCGATCATGAAAAACCGGGAGAACCGTACGAGGATATTTTCATATAAGCATACTGTTTTTCAGGTTTTCGTTTTATTTTTTTTTTTTTTTTTTTTTATTTACTCGGCAAGTTCCGCGTTTGTGCTAGAAATTGAAAAAATCGATCAAATACGAGTAAGGTAAGTAAGAGTAACTCGACACCGCTTTTGTACAACTCGCGTACGCGACTCGACACGCTGAATTTACCAAAGTCCGTGATTATTAGATTTAAGGCTTAATAATTGATCGTTATTACCAGCAGAGACTAGAAGTTACGTTACGATAAGCCTAGTTAGATATAATATGTATCGTCTAGGAAGTTTCTTTATTTTTTGTTTGTTTGTTTGTTTGTTTGTTTCATTACTTGCTTATTGTTCCTCTCTATTACTCCTAGTTGGCCCGATTGATGTTCCCAATACGTTTGCATATCCGTTTTCTTTCATCGTTATTACATGGAGACAGCCTCGATTAGCTCTCGTTACGAAACTACAAACCCTACCGCATACGTTTCTACGTAATCTCGGCCTCTGCGTCTCGATCCGTGGATTCGCCTACGAGCCAAGGCTCCATCGTGCGGCCCTCGAAACGCGAGAAACGCCGGATTTGGCGATCGAGGATCGTTCATCGCGATGACGAAGCTTCGATTAATTCACCTGGCGCACGATGCAGGGAAACCGGCGCGTTTCTCGTTTCACAAAACTCGACGTGGCTCGTCCTTCGTTCGTTCGAAGAGAAAAATCGTTCCTGTGCGTTTAGCGTGATCGTTTTGCGAATGGTTCCTCGAGGACCACCGATCCTACGGCTGCGGAAGTATCGAAGTAACGACGCGGGCTTCGTCGCTCCCGTGGACTCTCAGCAATTGTCGACTGCTTTCGGATTTTGCTGGACGTGGGAATCTCTGAGCTCTGATCTGTTCTTCTTGAGACGAGGTGCGAATGTCAAAGGAAACGAGGGAGGGAGTATTTATTTTTGTTACTGGCTTCGTTGAGTTTTCATTTCTGCAGAGGCGATTCGTTCGCTGGACGCATCTGCTTTGACTCTAAACCATTCAAAGTTGAATCGTTTCATCGAATAGCGGTCTTCTTGGTCGCGGAAAATTTCTGTAGCCCTTCTTCAACCTTCTCGCGTATATTAAAAAAATTCTCCTGTGTCTGTCTTATTTACAAACTAAGTAAAATTGCTGCTACAGATGATGAGGTCTTGAAATTTCGTACTTTGTAAATTTTGTATCGTTACAGTAGTTTCGGAAAAATCTTGCATCCTTTCTTTAGCCTTCTCATGTATTTTAAAAAATTCTCCTGTGCCTGTTTTATTTACAAGTTAAATAAAATTGCTGCAACAAAATTTCGTCCTTCCTGGATTTTATATTATTATCAATTGTTTTTCGTTCTTCTTGGGCCAGAAAGTTAAATTAACGACAGTTTGAAATGTTGATCTATTAATGTGTCTTCACCTTTGACTCCAGGCTCATGGCAATTCTCATTTCTATTAAAAATTCAACGTCTCCGCGGGCATTGCTAATTTCCCTCGCTCCAACGTTGCTCCGGATCTTGATGGAATTACGTGTATAGTTATAAAGTTACACGCAAGAAAATACGGATCTCGGAAGCTTCCAAACTTTCATCCCTTCGTTTGGCCCTGTCAAGAATACTGTTCGTGAAACGATTACAATTTGCTCCGCGGCATTAACTTCAAAACAAATTCAATTTACGTCGACCTTTGTTTTCAGAAAAAATTGAATTAATCAAAATATCGATAATGAATTGCGAATTTCTCCATTCCTCTATCCATCCAGTTTTTCGTCCATCATTCAAATTTGTACAGATTATTCACTTACACAGCTTTCGCAGAGGATTTTTCTCTTCTCTAGGCGTTCTCTTTTATTTTCCACTGTTATTTGGTTACACAATTTTAATGAACCCCGATCGATACTGGTGGACAATGGGAGATTGAAATATGGTCGTATAAGTTCGCACTAGTCAATCTTTCTTTTTATTATCCAGCTTCTGTTTCCACGTTCTTCGTACTTCCTCATCCTCCACTTTCACTGTTTTCACCTTCATCGTCTACTCTTCTTCGCTTTCTATACTTTCTTTACCCATTCTTCCTCAGCTTTTTTTAATTAACACAAATTACACACGTCGATCCTCAGTTTTCGCTTCAAAATTTAGACTAAACCTCCCCGAATCGAAACCTTAAATCGACTCTACTTCGATACGCAACAAACTGTGTCGTTCAGTCTTCTATTTTCGAATTTCATCGTTCACCTTCGTTCCACCATTCGCTTATTTACCTCTTCCACCTTTCTTCCACCTGAATCTCCGTACCTCACCCAGTTTCCACCCTCGAACCTAATCGTACCAGCCTCGACGACCTCTGACACGTCAACCTTAATCCTTTATCGATCCAGTTACTCATTTTCAGCGGTCGTTTTTCTTTCACTTTGCTCTCCGAATGGATTCGGCTCGTTCAATTACATTTGAATCGTTTGTCACCTCGAGCCGTAGCTTCGCCCTTTGGATCGAGGGTCTCGACGAAATCATCCTCGGACAGAGGCGTCCTTGGCTCGTATCCGATCGAGGCGAGCGACTCGTCAGCCGCTCTTGCTGAGCATGTTCGGAGCGATGTTGGTTATGGTGACGCGAGGTAAAGTCCACGGGATTGCCGGTGATCGTGAAACAGATGGCACGAGCTTGCCGAGGGCTTCCTGTTACACGTCGTCCTCTATACTCCTCAGGGGTATTTGTTGCTTTTGTGCTACCGCGTTCAGCACGTAGACCAGCTGGTCCAATTTCTTGTCCATCACGGACAACTGCGGACAGAAATTTCCAAGTGAGAATCGATCTTCCGAGAACGAGGGCGAGAAGCTCTGGGTACCTCGGGAGCAAGTGTTTTTTTTTTCTAGGATCGAGTGAATAGATTGATAAGTTATGGTCGTGGGGAAAGGTCACCGAAGGGTGAGACATTTTGTGATTATTAATTTGATCTGACTGCTTCTGCTTCATTGAGGGGCACTCTTTTTAAGATATTATGAGATAACTATTCTGATCGAATTGTATAAAAATTAATATTAATAATATATTGATAGGAATATTTTAAAGATTTAACCCAGATCTAACTCAGATCTTAAGCAACATGCATAGTAATAAATAAGAAAATTCATTTTTATCCCAGGAAGAAATAGTACATCCTTAATCCGTTCGATTTCTGTGCACTATAATGATAATTGATTTTGTTAACGTTTATAAGGGTACAACCCCTTGAAACTAAACCACTCTAATTGTACTATTAAGTACCATTATAATTATTCTTGAAAGTAAAGAATTCACACCTCGACGCTACACCAGTTGACGTAGATGTTTTATTTTTAAACTCATCACTGTAATTTAACTCGATCGAATGAGAAGCAGAATTACAGCTGTAAAGGTTTCTTCAAAATTGAGAATCATATGCCCCATTACACTCATCCATCGGCAATTCTCTAGGGTGGAGGAATAAGGTGGAGGGCTTACGAGCATTTCGTGCAGAAAAATGAGAAACACGCCTGGGGAAAATACTTGAGACTAATCCTCTTGATTGAATCAATTTCATCAGGTAATCGAGTGTTTAATTAATCGATAACAGTACCCGAATACAACGGTTCGTACAGATTGCTATTGATAGATAATATTGTTAATGACTAGACTGCGGATCTTTGTGCAAAATAAAATCTTCGCGAACATGGCTACAAAAATTGTACCTAAATAGGAATTTATTTTGTTCTGTAAATGTTATAACCTGAACTTCACTTTCAATATTTTTTATATTCTTGCATATTGTTTGCATTTTGTAGGTTCATGCGCATTCAAATTTTCTATAAATGCATAAAGATCCGCATGAAAATTATTCTACATTAATTTCGTAATCTTACTTTACACAGACTTCAATAGAGGGCATAGATAAAAACGCATAAATTTCAGCGTATTACTTATTAATCCTATTGCTGTCGTTAATTACACATGACAGAATAAAGAAGAATGTTTGATTTCCTTTTTAAATGGTTTTTAAATGAAATACGATAGGTTTCGTGATGAATATTACACATAGTTGTTTTCAATGTTTGTACGTTATCATTGCAGTCTCAAAACTGATTCAAACAGTGGCAACGGATATGAATTCTATCCGAGTATTAGGTTTCTCAGTTATTCGAATCTCTGCTACGAAACTCGAAACAGATAGATAGATACATATATATTTATTAGCCTGGGACAATATTCCTTATGGACATGAAATTATATCTGTAGAATAGTAACAGTGTTCACAGTAACAGCAGTATATTAATAGAGAAACATAGATCGGAATAGGAATATAAATACTGGTGCCAATAATAAAATATTATTACCATTCATAATATTATGGAAATGAGAATTTAGTCTTATATTCTGCAAGCATTTAGGGTCTAAAACCACAGGGTCCCTTCGGAAAATAATAGTTTATATTTAACGAGTAAAAGGGGCGATCATCGAAATCAATAAAAATAATATAATTTAAAATTAATTGAAGTAAACACAAAGAAAATATACTTGATCGATGCTTATCGAAATCAAACATGCGATTATCCAGCTGATGTTCCTTCTAAGTGTTGGAGTAATGGGAGCATTATTGTTAAAATAAACAAACAGCGAGAGAGGGGGTCTCACCTGCTGTTCAACCCTGTACAAGCGTGCGCCTATCGTCATCGGCTTCACGTTGCCTGCCCGGTCGATTCCTGCCAGATAGCTGCCAGGCTTGCCCAGGGTCTGATCCAATCTCCTTTGTAACTCCTGTGAAAAGGTATGGTTAACGTGCGTACGTATAGTATAGGTACCATTGAAAATCATCGATACTGCCAAATCGGCACGAAATCCGACCAACACAAGTACCTACTTGAGAAGATTAAATCCAATCATAAATTCGGTACAAATATTGGAAGCACGAGTATTCGCGTCTGCGTCTCCTAGGAGATCGCAACTCTAGCGAAATTTTAAGAATCACTTTTTCGACATTGTTTCCAACACGAATTTTGTCCATCCATAAATATTTCATCACTTTCATGGGGCTCGTATTTTGGCTAATCATAGCGTGGGGACTTTCCTTCCCGAGGGAGTAATTTGGTTTTGGGGTGCAGAGTTAGGATTTACCGGTTTATTGATTTCTATGAAAAGAATTAATGTCCATATCTCTCGTTTTTACGTCGAGAAATAAAAGAATACAGCGGATCATTAATTTTATCGACGATAAGTTCCTTTCGATAATTACAAGAATCAGGTCATTCCATAATTATTAAATGAATTACCATTGAAATCGTATTCTAGGCTCTTAAAATGTAATACACGTTATTATTAAACCCAATGCTACGTCATCAAATGTTTATATTCAATGGACACTATGAGGCATTGGTATTTAGCTTTAATAACACGATTAACGAAATAAAATGATATTTGAATAACAATTTAAATACTTTCATACATTAAGCAGATTAAGGGATGAGACAACATTGAACTTTTGTTTCTGGAAACACGCAATACAATATATACACGGATAATTAACCTAAAAAATTATGAATGAATTTGGAATACCTCGTGTAGGCTCGTACACAAGGTTCAAATTAGGTCGCATCGCGTTGACAAATTGTCAGAAATACACGTGACGTTGGTTATCCTCGGGGGGAATACGTGAATCATTGAAACATCGTAGTTAATTGTGCACTAATAACCATTAATTAATCGATTTAATTAGGGAAAACACTAGAAATTTTCCACGACAGCAATAACAAGGTAATATCGATTCAGTTTGACGGCTGTGGGCCGTTGATAGCTATGGAATCAATCATGTTGGAGATAATACTGATGCCTGTTAACAAATTAACGAACAATTTGAGAGAAAATCCAATGTTATATAGTTCGATCAAACAGTATGCTAAACTAAACAAAATTGCAATGTCAATACTATAGAATTTTAATTTTTCAGGCGTTTCATTTTATTAAGAATAAATTTTATGTTGTAAGAAAAGAAACTTTTGTATTTGATAAGAGTGTATAAAGCTTTGAATATCTGAACGTAACATTTGGCAGTGTGTTAAATAAATCCAATACTTTCATTTCTCGTGTAACCTGCTTGGCGACCTTGTGGTAGCTGACGAACCTAACGCGGTAACTGGATATCGACCGTCTCTTCGCGAAGTTGAAAATCTCGAGGAAGCAGGAAACGCAAATCGTGCCAGCACGAAGGTTTAAGGGTGTTATCGATTTTACGGATACATAATAAAGCCTCATTCGCTCGAAACTCCCCTCTTAGAACAAAGGGCCGCATATTCCGTGGAAGTTAGATTGCCACGATCGACTATTTCGCTCGAATAATCGTGATGATTTCGCGTTACTTCCGGTCGACCTGGCGGGATGTATTTCGCTCGGGAAATTTTCGATTCACTTCTAACTGATCGAAAATTAAGACAAAACGAAGATATCTCGTTAGATAATAATAATCGCGCACAAATTAATTGCGGAGGGAAACTCACAGTGCGGTATTCAATATCGTGATAATAGAACGAATATACGATAACGATACCGTGACATTCAGCATCCCTAATTGAATATTTTGCAGTACGTAAATTGCAGCCTTTGTTACCCGAAAGTAACGATTCATGCGTGTGTTGATATTAAATATAAAAATGTAAATATAAAAGATATCATTATTTTTACGTTTTGTTTTCAGTTGTTATATGAATAAATATAGTTAGGAAAGATGCGTTATTACGGGTTCAATATGAATCATACTTTTCATTTATTCTTGAAGAGGAGTAAAATAATTTTTAGAGGACCTTTTGCTACCAAAATGGATTACATAATAATTTCGTTTTCTACTATTACATGACTTTTCAATGCAATGCAAAAATCTCTTCACTAAAGCTACGATGAGAAGCAGGATCAATTGCGGAGAAATTGAAACTCTAACTTATAAATTTATCAAATATTATTTTAAACATATAAATGGTTTCACCCCTATTGATTCCTTAAGACTCACGATTGAAATTTTCAAATCCGTCTACGTCTCGAGACGTTTCCAATTTTCTTAAAGTGTCAAAGCGCATGCACGATGATGCTCGATACGCTCCACAGATTGGCACACTATTATGTCGACACCGGATCAAGTCACCCGGCCGTTGGAGTGTTCCGTGTATCGACAACTTCATTGTTCTATGGTTTGACATTGGCTTTATTCACTCCTCGATTGGCAGTGACGTAATAATTGTCGGCGCGCAATCTGCATTTCCCCGATGAGAAACGGTGCACGATACCACTGTTGCCTTTGTCATCCCACCTAACCTCCGGTGGTTGCCTGAAATGCTTAGCGTTACTCGCGTCAATCACGAAAATTCGTAAATTTTTATCATCCATCGAAAGCTTCGGGATGGGGAAAGCTCGATTGCTAGATGGAAAATGTATTCTCTCATTCACGTCAATGTCACCAAAATATGCAACATCTAAAATATTTCAAATATCTAAGATGTCTAAAGTAGATTAAAATATATAAAATAGAAATAATAAATATTCGACTTATTCTGCTCAATTTTAGGACTAACTCATCAATTTCATGGAAACTTTATGAACAATCAGTTGCATAAATAATTAGAACACTCCGTATAATTTAAAAGGGTTTTATAATTTAAACATTCAGTTTCCACTAGAATAAGTACAATAGTGTTCGATCAACGTAGAAGGAATTCTTCCTGAAATTTTCCGCAAGGAAACTTGCTTATGCTGTACGAACTTATTTTGACAAGAAGAATATTCCCCTTTACGATCCCGCTGCGCTGTTTGGCGTGTACAGGTGCGCGTGTAAACATTAATATTCGTATTACCAAAGGAACTACCAAGATTTCCGAGCGTCTCAAAGCAGTCGGTTTTTCCCTTAATCAAAATTCCACCCTGGATGCTCGCTGCGCTAAACCAGAGCCGAATATTTCGAAACTGTTTCGTGGCCACGAATTTACATCGTGTAAATTTAAAGTTTCGGTACTCGAGTGTATACATTATAAATATTCTTGATCTCGAAATTGCTTCAACTCCAAGTTTTACTTTTTTACTTTTCAACGAAGGAAAGTAAAGTGCAGAGTGTTGTTCGATGAATAAAGAAAATGCACTTGAGGTAGTTACTTAAAGTAAGAATACTTGAGCATGTTTAATGCATCAGTAAGCGAAACTCTATCGTTACTGTTAAATGTTTTATAAATTATTGGCCTTTTAGACAGTGCTTGCGAATGTGGTGCTGAAAATCAACATTTAGATCGTGTCATTTGGCAATGTCCAAAATATGAAAATGAACGTGTTACCCTCATAACAGCGCTTCACCGTCGCAAATACTACCTCCCGACTTGTATGAGGTGTTTCTTATGCGGTCCAGATATTAAATGTCAGATGATTATATTTGAATTTATTAAGCGATGAGCAATAAGAATTTAACTTAATTTAAATTTAATTTAAATTAAATAATTATTATTATCATAATTTTACTTCATTAAAATAATGTAAGCACACAGACGCTACACAAACTAGTTTTTAGTTAATGTATGTAAAAAGGGCGCATTAAGATATGTTATGTAACGTATGCTATATAAACCATATTTGGTTTAAAAGCATCAAATAAATAAATAAATAAATTATTGGCCAAGTAAATATATGACCAAATGTAGGCCAAAAATATTATTATATTGAAAAAATCTGAAAGATTATATTTTTGACAACACTTAAGGGTGTGCTTCACGTATTAATTTGAGTAGCAAAAGTATAAGTGGTATAAACTTTTAGGACGACCTAATGTTTTGAACCACCTTGAAATTTTCTATGTAAATATTATTAATCTGTGTTAGTATGGACATTATCAAGGTAAATATCATTATTTAATTTTGTATTTAGTGCCACGTGTAGCATTGATCTCTTTCAGAATAAAATATTTCGACTCGAATAAACGAAACCACAAAATCGATCCAGGAGTTCCCATCGTACCTTCATATACAAAATTCAGGAAACCCCCTAAACATTCTCATTGATACTCCCAACCTACAGTGACATCCTTACAGCAACACCTAACAAGGAAGAACCGTATAATTAATGTTTCAGGACAAGTTGATACTAAGGATGGAACTTCTGCAACTTTCGAATCGTATCAATTCCAAAACTTCCGTAATCATCAGGTTCGTTCGAATGTTAATGAGGACTACCCATACTTGACAAACTTCTATACTCTGCGAACTTGTCACTTCCAATATATCGGGAATGGTACTGTTAAAAACTGAAACTCCGCGCTTGTTAACGCCTGAACTTCGAAATCTCTTTGAACCTCTTGAATCTTTAAATTATTCCAACTTGGAAATTTCTCTAACCATCGCGATCGTTCGTACATTAATGGAGACTATCCAGGACTTTAGAACGTCTTACGAGCTTGGACTTCCAATATGTCGGAACTGGAACTATCGAGGGATGAAACTTTAAACTTGTTAACGTCTGAACTTGGGTCTCGAAGTCTTTAAATTGTGGGTATCGGACCAAATTGGGTATCGAACTTGAAATTCTGGGCTCGAAAAGATGCGAGCATGTCCCAACGCTGTAGACAAGAATACTCACCTTGATTCGGACCATCATATTCAGGTGACCCTGGCTATACTGCTCGATGACATCGCGCACGTCGTAAGGCTTACGTGCCTGCTGAAATTTCCGTCTCGCCACGAAGTACTTGATCTTTCTGATCGCCCTTATGGCGTTTCGGTGCGCCTCCGTCAACCTGAAAGCGAAGGAAATGCTTGATTCGGAAGTATAGCTCGTGACCTCTGCGAGCACGTTTCGGAATGGGTATTATCACCGAATGACTGTCATTTTTATCGAGGTCACGTTTCGTTGTCGTTAATTTACGATCGGGTACGATTGATTTTCCCCTCGACGGCTCTTACGTAATGTAACGGGCGTGCAAATAACAGAAACTAATTTGAAATTCATTGGAGACACAGAGTCGAATTATTCCAGTTCGTTTGCTTCGATTTCGGTTTTTATTTAGATGTACAGTGACTTGTATTAATATTTACTTTACTTTATTTATTATTCCAATGTATACCTCGCCATAATTCACTTTATATATTTACATATAAGCTTCTGATGAAGTGGTGTGTCAGTGTGTTGAAATAAGTTTTGTTGTTGTTTATGTAAAGTGAGCTTTCGTTAAAATCTAAAAGCTTAGTATGCAATTCATCTGTCTATTTTAGTTGACATTTCAACTATTTTCCTGAAAGGGTTCTAAATATTCTCCGTCGACACATAGACATTGACATACAACGTTTATACAAATAGAATAATTAATTCAGGCATAGAGTAAAGGAAGTTGTGATATTTATGCGACGTAAAGAAACAGCTGACAGTTATTTATATCAAATAAAAGTGAACATTTAACAAAGAGTAGACATGCAATCCGTTTGCCATAAATATACTAACGTGTACTAATGCGAACAGAGCACATAACATTACTCACTTTTTATTTAATATTTATAAGGTAAAGACACTTTCATTTGAAAACAGAAACGTCCAAATTCTCGGTTAAACGTTATACAGTGTCTATGCATTGTTTAGAGCCCACCCTCCTCCCTTTTATCAGCTGCAGCACTCCTCGAAAGTGATTTAAGTGACAAACGAAAAAAATGCAAGAGCTCGACAAAAGCATAAAATGAAATCGACGGAACAGTGTCGTCCTGAATCTACAATTTCGGAACACGCGACGTCTCCGTCGTAAAATAATTATTATTTCCAGGAAGACGATGTCGGCCGCCGACTGTTCGTGTAACTTTGGCTGTCGATGCTTCGAATTACATGGAAACACTCTCCGCTATTGGTTCTCAGTCCCTCAACGTGGTTTCAGACGACACGCGTACCCAACTACCCAGCCACCTACTCTCGACGAGCAGTTGAGAGGACATTCTCGAGGCAAGTGGTCGTTCTTCAACTGTTTACGATTCGACGCCGCTTACCCCCGAGTAAAGACGCTTTTTCGCAGCGTTCGGTGCCAGCCTCACGTAGATAACGATTATCGAATTTTCATTCGAGCAAGGCTTCGTTCGGGTAAAACTTTACTCGAGTATTGTGGTCGGGTGAACAAATATTTGTTCGTTACGTAATCAATAGATCGGGGATTGCATGCACTTATAGTTTGCATTGGTTTGGAGAATTAATACGAAACGTGCGTGGAGAGATATTTTATAAAATAATACACAACGAAGTTTTTATGTGTGTGTAGAACACCCTCGGTGTACGCGATACTTTCGTTTTCAGAAATTGGTAGTTATATCGAGATGAATAACGAATTTATTTCACACGTATACGTATCTTTTTTTTAAAAAATGGATGTTCCTTAAACAAAATAAACACGATGCTATCTTTGTACAAGCTGGACATGCATGCGATTAATTAAATGATGTAATTAAAATTTCGAAGAGACACTTTCATAGCAAATCGACTGTACAGTTTCACTAATTCGCAAATTTAAATCGTCGTGGCTCGAGAAACCGCGGTCGCGGCTACTTTCTGAAACGATTACGCATCCTGGTGACAAAGCTAGGGAAAGCGTGGCCAAATAAAAGGGTAAAAGAAGAAACACGGTTCGAGTATCAAACGGAAGGGATGCGTCGCGAAGAAGAGAGAGGAAATCTGGACGCGATGTTCTTTGTGTTAGGGGTTCGAGTACCGCGCACGGCAAAGAATGTAGGCCGTCCGTGAAGCCGAGTAATGCACCGGTGAAAAAAGCACTTACGTTCTGTACTTTTCAAGAAAAAAAAGCCTTTCACGAGAGCCACCACCGCGAGGCAGCTGTTACATCCCTCTTTCGAGAACGGAGTTTCTGGAAATGTCAATGCCGCGCGATGGCGATCGTTTTCCATGATGTTTCACGTAATTCGTTTCGTCTTTGCCACTAATTTTTAATTTATCGATGCAGGCTCTGTTCAATTTTAATTGCGTCATAAATCGAAAGCGGACGACTTCACTGCATTCATTTTAATAGCGAATGTTTTAATAAGCAGATTAAGTAAATTGATTTCGATTCTTATGGTTGAATACCCTTCAATATTTAAACGTTATCTATATAATATTTAAAAGTGTCTGATAATACATCAGTGGCTAAATAAATTATAATTCCGTGGACCGCGAGATTGTAGACTATTAATAACAAATATTGAAACTCCTTGAAAATTAATCGAAATTTTAGTTTAGAGTATGTACACGTATGTTTAAAAATGTGGTTTTTGAGTGTGAACTAAATAAATGTTGGAAGAAAGAATGGTTTACCTGTGATAAACGAGGCGAATTCTTTTCTTTGAAGGCTGCTGAAAATGAAGAAAATAGAAAAGCGAATGAAGTAGAAAATGAGCTACGTTCCACAAACGAAGAAGCTGGCTATAACATAAAAGCAGATGGAGAAAATAGAAATGCAAAAAAGTTAGCAAAAGAAACACGCGAGGGCGTTCGTAGGGATTTTATAAAGACCTACCTCGCGATGATACGCCAAAAGGAGAAAGGAGCAAGGGAATGGAGAAAATGAGAAGAAATGGTTGGGAACATCTTGACGAACATGGAAGATTTAATTTGAGAAGCGATGCAGAAAATAATAACAAGTGATACGTATTACAAAACATGTTATTTATTATATAGAGAGGTAATTGTGAAGTCACTGCGATCCAATAAATTGTAAGAATTGCATTGAGAAAAGTGACTTGAAGGTGTTCACTGTTGGTGCTTTTACTCTAAAATTTAGAGTCTATAAGTCTATATGATCGCGAAATGTCCATTTCGAATTACTTCGAGTACCAGATTTTCATTTACTTTCTTGTAAACGTACTTTCAAGCTTTTAGCACTTAATTATTCCAGAATTGTATATTAGTATAAGATAATAATCGATAAACAGTCATAGAAAGTGCATTTCATTAATTATTCTTTTAGAACGTACCAGACCTGTCGACCATCTAAACAAATTATTAAACAATTTTTCGTAGCTGTCACGTCATGCCAACTGTTAAACCGTAATTATATTTCGCGTTTGCAGTAGCAATAAATAAAACAAGCCTTAAGATGATCTAATACTGATAATGGACATTTATTAGGCAGGAGAAATTGCGCTCTTCAGTTTGAGTTTTGTTTGAATCGAATCCGACGATTCTAAGCAGAGTTATAACAGTTTAAAGATTTCGTAGTAATAGATTGATATGAATGAAAGGGTAGCTTTAAATGGCCTACACGTAATACTCGAAATGCGTACGCGATCCGAGAAATAGGGGAGGCCGTGAACGACCTCGTAGACGACCTTGTCTAACGGAACTTTTTCTTGGAGAGACTCGACAACATTCATTGGCGTAACTATTAGCTTTTCTGTGTTCTTCATTGGCGTATCCATCAATTTTCGTCTCACTTGACAATTTTAGGTAACCTGTCATTTATGTTTGGAAGGCGATACAAATTCGGTTCTTTTACACATTTCACTGAATGTTGTTTAGGGAGATTTTTAGAGCAATATTTTAATCTATAATGAATTTATGAATTTATTCTGCATAATTTGACTTGAATTTTTAACCAATATACGTTTTTTGAAGAATTTATAATGAATATACATCCAAAATTTTGGAAGAATATCTATTCTACATGAAAAGAACTTTATAATCTTCTTGTCTATCTTCTACAATAATAACAAATTTAACAAAATTCAACATTTTCGCGTGTTCTCTCCAATTAATAATTAAAAAGCACAAGGTTCAGGCACAGGACTATCGGAAAATTCAGTCCTGGTTATTTGTCAGCCAAACTGCGCATTCAAAGGTGAAAGCCTAGGCAGTCGATGAATCGAATGCATGCACTCGAGTATATGTATATGTCGCGGTTTGCTGTCTCAAAACATTTCCAGCGTGTAGTGCCGACCGACCGTACCCTGCTCGACGAAAATTCTCCGGTAATATCGATTCGGCATGCAAAATGAAAGTAATTTGCATGGAGATATAGGCTCCACGGCTTTCCTACGCCCTAATTTTGCCCGTTGTTATCTAGCCCAACGTAAGCGTAAAATAGTCGAACGATATTCCAGCGATGGCCAGACTGAAAGATAGAGGAAAGAGTAGCATTCTGCCAACCCGTCAATTTACACTTCTTTAGGATATCTCGCTTGTAATTCAGAATCCATTAGCAAAGCTATTCGAGTATATCCTAGTGCGATTGAAATTTCACATTAAATAGTTGTATCAACTTCTTGTCTAGCTTATCTAGTAAGGACTAAAGTTCCAAAAATCTTGAAGAGCCAAATCCAATTTAATATGTTTGGTGTTCGACATATTTTGATTTTTTAAAGCATTTACAACAGGTTGGTTGTCTGTCTGTTCTTGTAATTCAAACTGTATTAGTAAAACCTTTCGAGTATATTCTGAAGAGAATTAAATTTTACATTGAACAGTTGCATCTTTCTTCTCTAGCTTGTTTAATAAAGACTAAAAGCATTTACCAGAAATAAATGAAATATATTAAAAATGTCAATTGTAATTCAAACTGTATTAGTAAAACCTTTCGAGTATATTCTGAAGAGAATTAAATTTTACATTGAACAGTTGCATCTTTCTTCTCTAGCTTGTTTAACAAAGACTAAAAGCATTTACCAGAAATCAATTAAATATATTGAAAATTGACATTTTTAACTGACTTGAAAACAGGAGGAGTTTACTCAATTCGACACATATATATGTGTACATATACACATAATATATTTTTTTATCCTATCAGCTTAATGTAATTAATAATTTCAGTTGCTTTCTAATATTTAACCAAATACGAAACTATATTTATAACACAAAGAATGTTACTCGCGTTAAAAAAGAATGTAATACCCTTTCGCATCAAGTATTATTATTACAACATTTGTCACGTTCGCACCAAGTAAAGCGTGATCTTACATCAGATCTAAATTGAAATCAAATTGACCCTCGCGAACACGTTCTATTTTTTACCCAGCCTGTCAGCGATGAATATTGAGGACCGCCGGCGTACGAGTATCGCGAAAATCAATTTGCATCGAAACGTCGTTTTCCTTTCTTCCCATTCCGAAACGCGGAGTTTTTCGCGGAGAACGCGGAAAATCACTATGGGAAAGTATACTTACGTGGTGACCCTTTGCGGTTCTTCGATATCAATGTCAATTTCGTCGCTGGTGGCCTCCGTGACGGAGCTCGTCTGCGAGGTGAAGAGGCTTCCCCTGCCAACCGGAAATACGCTACTCACACTACCAAACTCGAGAACTAGTTCCTTCGACGTTCGAAGCCGCTCTAGAGAAAGTGCCCCTCAGTCGGCTGACGTTTCCTGTCAGCCCAAGTTTCCCCGACCGGCTATTATTTCGCGGTTGAAATTTCCACAGATTTTCCACTCGTCTCACACGCATATTCCCCCACACGTGCTTGTCCCACTTTCGGAGACTCTGAACACGAATCGACGTATTTAGCGATGGTACACGACCATGATTATGCAGCATCGGTACTTGGTGACGAAGAATTTTAGTGTCACGAGCACGAATGATTCTTTGAGTAGTAGAAGCTATCGATACCTATTCGAATGTCTCGATGTCCTTATAACAGACTTGGGAAGATTTTAATTGAAACGAAAATGAGAAGTAATTACTTGAAATAATTTATTGTGGACGCTTATTTTCAATACAGTTCCTTAAAAATAAAAATAATACCAATTCATTTGAAATAGCTATTTCAAATAATGAATTGTTTGGCTGTTTTTTTTTTGTTTTAAATTTAATGAAAGAAGTAATCCCTCTATTATCATTGTTCAAGAGATTTTTGTCTGGGTCTCTTTAATATCGTCAAAAATGTTTTCAGGAAAACATTTATAATAATCGAATAGTAATTTAACATAGACAGATCAGTACTATCATCTTTCACAATAGTCGATACATTTATTTCTCCTTGAGTTTGGATAACAAACATGAATTTGGTTGCTATTTCATCACCTTAGAATTCGAAATCCTAGTTGTACTTATGATTTCACCTGACATCATTTTTGAGAACAATTTCACAATTATTTCAAATAAATATAAAGTAAAATAACACGTTTCTTGGCATAATATTTTACATAATTTCACTTGTAAAGAATGAAAATCATTCTAAAATAAACAACCTGCTACTCAAAATAATATTTCAATTAATATTATTTAAAAAATGACCAGGTCTGTTTCGAAATAAATATCCGAGCATCGAATTACTTGAAAATAATGAGAAAGACTAGTGATATACTTATCATGTCCATCGCTATACGTGTTCCGCGCATGCTCTTTCGCAATTTCGACTGCTCGCTAATTGATCGATTCAAGCTGGATCCGATCGCGATCATGCTGTTACGTCTCAGACACGTGACGTCGAGAATCTCGCGAGGAGTTTCAAATCGAAATGCTCAAGGTTGATTACCAGCGACGTTATGTTAATTGCGTTACTTGGTCGATTCGCAGGGGAATAGCGGGTGACAGTGACTTGTGAAATCTCGTTGAGATCGTGCCAGTGAAGTATTTGCGGTGTTTTCTTTAACAGATACACGTTTCTCCTGTCTATTTTTCGGTAATTGCCAATAACAGCCGACTTTGAGGGTTTTCTCTAGAGCAATTTACAAAATTGAACATCCAGATCACGGAAGTGGCAGTATAACGGAAATTCGTTATTCTCCTTTCTTACTGAATTAACGATATTAACTATAATTAGACTGCGAATTTTATACATTTATAGAAAACATACAAAAAATATATATATATATATATAATCTATGTAGAATACATTCTATTAATAATAATATTTATAGTTGGTTTGCATAAGTGCATAAAGTCTGTAGTTTAACTGTAAGTGTCGTTTAAACAATTTCCTAATTCATAATATTTATACATTCGAAAGCAGAAAAAGATTTTTAAGGAAAGGAACAGAATTAATTTTAATTATATAATGTCGAACGTGTCTGTTGTGAATGTAATAAATATTCATATCATAAACATATTAACCAGAAATTGTATCGTGAATATTCATGAATTTCCTTTCTCTCTCAATTCTCTGTTGTAAAATATTTATTTCAGAAACGCAACTCGAACGAACAATTCTGTGAAAAGTAAACGAGCCTCGTGAAAATAAATACTAAATTAACAACATACACTCGTTGAACATTCTAATAAGAATAATGCAATATGACATCATGCATCACTTATGTTTATTTTTTAATCCTTGAGTCATGATTCTTTAAATAAATGACTTTCTCGATTACACAAATAAAAACCTTTTTGCATCGAGCATTGTTGCGACCAAATAAGTCACTAATTTATTTAAACAATACATTTCGTAAGTCAAGAAGAGCTACTCGAATCGCATCTCTTTGAATAGAGTGCAATTGCATTATGCAGATGCACCGTTGCACTTTCGTGAAAAGTGATGTCGCAGGAAGATAAACATTAATGTATCACTCAGCGTTTTCTTCCGCGAGCCTTTACCTTTAGCCAGGCAGAAAATACCACACGACCCGTTTAGGTGAACCATCTTGGATATCGTGATAGAGCTTTTGAAGAATCAGGTTTCTTAGTGAGTGATAAAGCACCAGTTCGGTACAATAACAGTGCGTTCTCAGACACCCGATGAAGCTGGTGAGTGCAATGCTAACAGAACGTTGAAATAGTCATTAAACAAGTACGGTTCATCCTTTGGTGACCACCTACGTTAATTTCAGGATGAATTTTGCTAAGTTTCGTTTTGGAGACGTCGTGAAAACTCTATCGAATTTTAATTAAGCGATGCGATCGAGAAGAAAAATTTGTAGCTGATGAAAGCACTTTGTAAACTGCATCTCTGTGCAACGAAAGCAATCGATCACTTTGCTTAATTAATACCATACACAGAAAACGGAAAATTCTTCTATAAAGACAGGAAGTAATAAAATCGATTCGAAAATGTATTTTCATATCGAGTACATATGCAAATGCTCGGTAGGAAGGATTTATTTTCTAGTTTTCTCGATTTAGCTGAACCAAAATGAGTCAGTAATGTAAAATCGCGTTAGTTTAGTTGAGATCTCGGAGATTTAGGGTTAAAATCGCGATGTGATCCTTATTAGAGGGAATTTTAAATATTTACTGTAAAAATTTACTATGATTCGAGAGAATCCCCAGATAGTTTTAATAAAAATAATCTTAATGAAAGTTGTAGTCACGTAGTATATTTTCATTATAAAAATTAAGCGTATATAGAATATTTAGAAGATAAACAACAAAGGAAATCGGTTCGACAAAATGGTAACATAAATATGTAGGATTTGTTTACTTTCCAGGAAACGTGTGAACGGATCATCAAAAAGTTAAGTGTGTGGTAAAGTGAGAAAATTGTTCATTAGTTGAAGAAAAATTGTAAATAGAAGTTGGAAAGCAGTGTACAAGTTTGTGCAAAATCATAAAATGTATAGAGAAGATAAAAAGCAACTTAACATTTTGTGATAAACGTGCCAGTTTGAGAAAAACGTGGAATTCATTTGTGTATAAATTGTGTAAAAATTGTATTGAAAATGGTGAGTGTGTCCTAAAAGAATGTATACATTTAGAATTAATGTAATTAAAAAACCACATTCAACATAAAAATGTGTACAACCCAACACATTCAAAGGAAAGAAAAATAGAGAAATGTCATTTTTATGAATGAGAAAAAGTTCGATTCCGGTGGTCTTTATGGTTGAAATTATTTTTACGCGAAGCTAATGTTGTAACACAATTATTAAGTTTGTATCGTTATTGCCCTGTATCGATTATATTATTCAGTACGCTATTACTGTATTTTTAATTGAAAATGAGTTTTCTCGGTACGATTTCTTTTTTATATTTTCTTTAATTATCTCTAACGATTTTACATCATTATTATCATTTAATAAATATCATAAAAAACATACCTCTAGCAACCTTTAACATCTTCGATGATCATTTTAAACAAACACAAGATGGTTTCAGACACGAAACCAGGAAAGTTTAATTCCGTATTTTCAGGAATCATTTTGGTATGAATTTACATATTCACGTAATTTTAAGTAAGATAAGTTAAAATCGATATGGCGAAACGTTTTCTTTTTCTGGCTAGTTGGAAACTTTCCCGGGAAATCTTGAACGTACCAACGGGATCGAGAGATCGCTATAGTAAGTTCGGAGTTACTGTAAATCGTAAAACTTCAAACAGAGCTCCGAGCACCTTCGTCACGGAGCATGCAAATTATTCGTAACTCCTTCCCCACCGACAATTCGCGTCGCCCCTCGCACTCGAGCAATACTCGAAACCTGACAGGGAAACAAATTCGCCCCGCGGAGTCCATTTCGAAATTTCACGTGGCTTCAAATTTTATTCCGAAACCCAGCTGCTTCTCTAATTTTAAGCAGATTAAGGAAATCCGCTGGTAATCTTTACCACAACGCTTAGGAAAGGTACTGCTCGGGTATGTCGACGAAAGTATTTGCGATATCACGAAAGAAATTATTTGGACAATTTTTTTGTATAATATTCTGCTTGTAATTTGTTTAAAAAATAATTGTGCCACGTGTGAATTCGTTAGGCACGCAATGGAACATTTTAACTGTAATACAGTCGCCAGGTTGTGCAGCAAAGTAACTTTAAACGTTAATAAATATGAGCAAATTAATTAATTAATTACTGATTGTAAGCTATGTATATGACACTATCTATGGAATTACTTTTTAATTGAACACCTTTTTCACAGACTATAGTGGCTCAACAGTAAAAAGATCAGGAATAAACAAATTGTTTTTTTTTAATTTCTAAATGCATCGAAAAGATTACATGAAATATCATTCGAGTAATTTTTTTAATTTCCTAAAGAGACTAATCACTTTATCAAATATTTAATCTGATGTATAATTATATTGAATTATTATTATTAATTTATAGTCCCATTTAGACAAACCCTTTTTTCTATGTGATGTTTTATTTCCTCAATAAATAAATTTAAAACCTAATCTTTTACCTTCTTTTACTATGCATAATAAATTGATAAGTTATATTCAGAAAACTAGGCATCCGCTCTAGATGGTTAAACGATAATAGTAAATCGACTTCGAATTGATTCTAGAATGAAATTTTCAAACTGAATGAGAGAAATGATTTCGCTCGACTCAGTTTTCCTGAACGTGGAATTATTCGAGGGGAAATTCGGCAAGCTATCCATTATCCGAATAAGTTTTGTACCTCGACAGAGTTCGAAGAAAGTTCTACTCGAACGATTTCATTAAGACTATGGGAAGTACAAATTTGCCAGATGATTATGCACAGGGTGATTCGTAATTGCAGGGCAATGCTTCAATTAGTAAGTCTAGAACACGAAGCAAGGAAATATAATAAGGTTCTAACCGCATCTAATACGAACTAAAACTACGACTTCTTCTTTACTAGCGATGAAATAAAATATTAGTCATTCTGTACCTGAAGAACGTTTGTTCCTTGTGGCCGAAGAGGTAAGATGGCAGAGTGAATACACTTACGCTGCAGTATTGGCGGAAACAAAATGCAGTATAACTTGTTTTGCATTCGAAATTTACTCCTTAAATTATTGCAGTGCAATTAAGAATCAAGTACCACGTGTATAATTTTCTTTTGACTATACTGTCTATTCTAAAGTAACTTTTAAAATTTGGCCTATCATACGAGACAACCAATTTTCCCAAAATTTTAAAAATAAAATGAAATAAAACACGATTGAGTTTCTACTATTCAGGGCTTTCTGGTTAAAGTTTTTCGGAAAACCGTTTCATCGAATCATCAGCATTCCAGCTAGCTTCAACGGGGGCCTGAGGACACATTAATATTGTATACGATATGCACTGATATTGGTACTGTATAAACTGCAAGAACCGAGACCTTCAAAAAGCTTCAAGCTTCAAAGATTTCAGTCAACAAAACATGCTCATATTACGAACATATATTCGTGGAAAGCTCCTTACGATGAAATTAATGGAAGCTTTTATTCACGATTTTCTATTCGCCTGTAAATGCACCCTATTCTTGTTTATATTAATTAAATGATTGTATATTACTGACAAATACAAGATTCAATCGTCTGCTAAATAATATTTGGCATTATTAATATCAGGGTTCCTTAATTTATTACTGACACTTCCTGATCTAGATTAGATGTCGGGTTGCTAGGAGACTGACACTGAGCATCTAATGCGACGTATTAAATTGTCTAAACTGATTTAGAAAACAGAGAGTTGCTTTAGAACAAATTTTATAGGTACCAAATTCTTGTCTTCTAAATAGAGAACTTGTGATGGAAATATTAACGAATAAAAATTCTATTGCTTTCTACGGGTACAATTGCATATTTACGATTTGTAACTTCACAAATTTAAGGTATAAATTCCGCGACTCACGAATAGGTCTGTAACTGTTAAAATAGCACTCCAACTACTTCAACATTCAAACACTCTCCAAAACCTCTCTATTGGGAAGGGAAATTCCCAGTAAACTTTTCGAGCTTAATCACCGAAGAGTTAATCGACTTCGGAGATTGGAAATATGCAAATTGCCCCGACTATTCACAAGTATCTGTCTGCCTAAGATAAAACTTGTCCTACTTAAGAATTCAAACAAAACTCGTCCACGAGGCTTGACTTCACTCGACAGAACAAAAAATTAGTTAAAATTCTCCTTCGTTTCCAAAAATCACGAAAAGTAATCTCAGTTTCAATTCGACGAGCCACTAGACTCATTTTTCTTTAGCTCTCGTACTCCAGCGCAACCCGAAACCTTGCTGAACGCTAACTGGCCTCGTTCACACCACCGTTTCTCAGCCATTCGATAACCACTCGGTCTGATAAGAAATCGGTCCAGTCTTATTACCAGCTCGTTGCATTTTATTAACTGATCCGGTCGGGGAATGGATTTCAAGTTTCGTTTCAATGAGATGCTGGCGTTTTCATTTTCAAACTAGGATATGTATAATAATTTTTAATTATCGGACTGTGGAATGGATTTAAGACTTTACTGGAGTGATATGGCTATGCTTGGATTCTAATCTTGAAACTAAAATTTGTAGAATAATTTATAAAAAAATATCCTAGTAACGCATATCATTGAACGACTATCCATTCTGTTTTAAGCCATAGAGTGTTAGCCAGAGATGTACGCTGGCAATGCTTTGTAAAACATAAAAATCTTTCTTCTTTCTTTGGTGGATCTAATAATTTAATCAACGACACCAGCTGAAGTCTCTTAGAGCTGGTGCACCGACCACGAAGAATTTAGGGGATGATCTTATACGAAAACGGATGATTTTTTAATAAAAGAGATTTCGTTTAAGATTCCTGGTATACCTTTGAGTCTGAGTGCTTAAGCCTGTTTTCTGCAAGTTTCGTTAAGGAAATTACTCCATTTAGCAGTCAACTGCAGCGACTACAAATTGCGTCCACGTAAAAGGTTGTTGGACAAGGTTTACCGAGAAGTCAGCATGGAATCCTGAATGAAACGCTCTCTAATTAAGAAACTACCTATTTCCATAAAGGACCATCCTTAACTCAAAAGGTGATACGCCAGGTCTCAAAGAAACGTACTGCGTCGATTATTAATGTTTAATTCCAAGTTTTTTTTTCTCATTTTTTTTTTTTTAGAAACAGGTAGTAGGACCTATTTAAATAATTATTGGAAAAAGTCGTATATTCTTTAATTACTAAGACGTTTTTTTTGGATGAGTGTATTTTATATAATCTACAGGATTTCTTCTTTGCAGTTTTAAATTTGCACTCCGAGATAAAAGTTACAATATAATAGTGAATCGCGTTTCGCGATCAGTTTGGTTAGTTCAGTATTGACATTTTGTTCTGAAATTGGCTAACTTTATTGGCTAACGACCACTTTAACAATTACTACTCCAAGTGTCGTATATACATATTCCAAGGTACGTTCAATTACCTGTTTCTAAAGCTATCGAGTTAATACACCTGATATTGTATACATATCAAAGCAGACCTGTAACCTATCACCCCACAATAGTAAATTAAAATGAAAAAGCTGTTTGAGTGAACCTCCTGTTACAGCTCGCGACTGAGAAAAATGCCTCGAAGAGATGTAATCGTGGTCTCGGTACCCTTTCGATAACTCCACTCAGAGGTCTTTTCCCAACAGACGATCATAATCGCCATGGATAGCGAAAGGGTGAACGTAATCCGATAATTTCGATTCCCCAGCGGGCCAGTGGTGAACGGTGGTGTGAAAGAGGCCTAACGAAGAGGAAAATCAATGACCGACTCACCGGTTGTCGCGCCTGGCACGGTTCGGTGTTCCCGCCTTGGGCTCTTCCATGTAGAAGATAACGTCACCCTCGTTCTCCATCCTTTGATTGTCGTTTTGGCCACCAGCGTCGCCGGCAGCGCCACTGGAAACGCCGCCGGATATCGTGACCGGCGGCAACGATTGCTGCTGCTGCTGCACGTCCATCCGGTTCCGCGACTTCCGCCTCTTCAGTACGCTCGCCTTCTTTGCCACCTGGATCATCAGAGACTGAACCCCCGGTGCCCTCCCATTACAACACACGTCGAACACAACATGCACTACCCCTACTAGCGGGCACCAGCTCGGCTCCGAGCACGGATATCCATCTGAAAAGCTCCCTGGCTCGACGACATCTAGTCAAAGGTTTGCACCACCCCATTGAGAACTTAGGCTCGTCGCGGTCACGCGGTCTCTCTTGTTCTACCGTCACCGACCCTTTACTTGACAGGCGCAGAAGTTCGTTACGAGGATCGCGAAGGGTTGATTTTTTATGTGCATCTATTTCAAAATGTTTTTATTAGATTCGTGGGAGTCCAAGTAAGGGGTTGTTACACTTGCATGATTTTATTATTTCAGGGAGCAAAGAGACTCTGCGTCTACGTTATCAAGGTCGATATTTGAAAGGTCGATTTTGGATGTGCATCGATTTCAAGATGTGTGTTTACGATTAGATTGTTTCAGTCGTTGGAGTCCAAATAAGGAGTGATGACACTTGCATGATTTTATTATTTCAGGGAGCAAAGAGACTCTTTGTCTACGTTATCAAGGTCAATATAGGATTTCATTGCTCTCTCGAGAAAACCCTCGTAAGGGTTGATGGACATCTTTGGACTATCTGATCGGTGTGATTTAAATGCAAAATTTTAGACAGCACTTTATAGATAGAAACTGGAAGGGTTCGACCGTCTGCACCGCAGCTAACGACACCAGTGGGACAGTGACAAAGTCGAACGGTTCTTCGAGACGAACGATTCTTTTTCAGAATATGTTCCAGCAATTGGAATACGGACGAGATAAAGGTGAAATGTAACAGTATTTCGATCAACTCTGGCATAAATATCGAGGTGCTCGCAAGTAATTACCGTCCCATGAATACTTAGACAATTTATGTCAAAAATGATCACGTTTATTATTTATATATCGCGATGTTAATAAAAAGATAAAGCTGCTATCGGAATTCTAGTTTATATTACGTTTATTATATTAACTTATAAAATTCGTGTCGCTTATGTTGTTCGTATTGACATGCGCGGAACGTACATTAAGTGTACAGTTTATTTATAAACTCTGCATTTTGATTTGAGTTTTGATAACGAGGAAAACTGGCACTGAGGAATGGAGAGGTTTGAGGGTGTTTGACGGGATGGAAGAACGCAATGTGATTTATGTATCCAGAGATTAGGGTATGATTTTCATGAGATTTAACCCTTTCACATAGGGAAACTCAGACACAATGACGTGACACAAAAGACGTGATAGAAATGGTATTCGTATTACAAAGTATTATAAGGTGTAACTGTAGCCAGGCCCTACTTTTTTGAAACAAACCAATTCATGGGAATTTTGTAAAAACTGTAAAAATGTTTGAAAAATTAAAATTGAGAAATTTCGGGCATTGGCGTCGTACCATGCTTACAAAATTATTTTTACATACATTTACTAAAATGTAACGGTCTAAGTGTTGGTCGTGAATAAATTTAATCGAAAACTATCGTACTTAAAAATAGCATCTATTTCTAGTGGGCCCAACAATTATTCTCTGTTTGTCATCTCGAGGCACTTTATATCCTGCAACTCTATTATTACTCCAATATAATTCATAGCAATAGATAATCCATACACCAGCGCAGGATGCGTTATGAATTAATAATCAGTCTGTATGACGTAGAAAACTGTTGCAGTTCATAATTGAACCCACAGACAAGGTATTTATAATAAATGAGTCACATTACATTTTCCCACGGAGACAAGATAATCAAATACGATTGTCATTAATTATTATTTCTATAAAAACTATACACAAATGGAAGAAGGAAAATGACTGGAATGTTTGTTGAATAAAAAGAACGATATTTATTCATGAGATTAATTAAGAGGCGACTAATGAAATTGCGTCCACGATTTTTTGCCGTCACACTCGTAACACCCACTACAGTTTTCAACGGAAAAATAAAGGAAAATAATCCTTCTTTATTTTACGAGAGACTATAACAAAACCCACGACACTAAACCCGGGTCTTTCTCCTAAAAGTTTATCGAGTTTTTTTACGTATACACGTAGGAACCACCCCGCCCCCCATCCCTGATGCCACGTCGAAAATGAAACGAGTTTCCGTGCACGAATGACGAAACTGGGTCAGTATCAGTTTTCAAACCTGTTTTCGGGGCCGCTAACATAAACTCCGTATTAACGTCATATTCTCGACTCGCGGCATTAAGCGCTCAAGAAGGATACCAAAGCAAAACGCGGAAGGAATATAATAGATCATAAATCCCTAAAATTCCCCATAACGAGACGACGTATCCTATCCGCGCGAAAACCTTTTATTCCAAACCGTAAGTCGGTTATAAGGGCGCGCACGATTCGATCGCAGCTGATGAATGAATGTATTTTCAGAGAAGCCAAGTTCGATCTTGAAAAATGACCAACCGTGATTTTTTTATTTATTTAATGTTTTTTGAAATAGAAATTACATTGGTTTAGTTTTTGGCTCGAAGATTCTTCGGAAGTGATCGATTAAGAAAATCGAGTGCTGTTTCACTTTGGAGCGTTTCAACTGAATCCTCCTCGCAGAACGTGACAACTTACAAACGTTTTGCGTGGAATACAGCTCGTTCTATCAAGATGCAGGAAACAATCGCTCGTCTGCGAAGAAAGCGCCGCCAGAAGAATTCGAGGGAGGATCGCGTCAGCGTGGCGAGCGTAAATTCTCATTTCTGTTGCGAACGCGAACGTCCGTTTCTTTGCTTGCAGGCTGATGCGAAAATAAAACAGCGACACGTATGCATACACTGGGTTGACGCAGGGATGATTCCACCTCGGACATCTTGCGCGAAAGATGTTGCTTCGAGGAGGGTTTTGAAACTCTCGTTGCGCTTGAAAAATTACTTCCTCGGAATTTGTAAACACGGAATAATGAAAGGCAAACAAGCGCTTTGTTTGTACTACTGGAAATGAAATTAACGGAGTTTTGTGGCACGCTTTTGATCCACTTCGGTCGACGAAATTTTACGAACAACCACAACGAGTTACAAAATCAAACATATAATATTTTTCTTTGATGGAATGGTTAAATAGAATTCCCGTTTTTTGATTGATAAAATATTTGGAATTTATTTGCTCAGTTTTTGACTGTTATTGTTTTTTAAAGAAAGGAATACTGTTTGATTGTGAAAGCAATAATGAAGGAAAATGTATATTTGTTTAGTATAGTCTGCAATAAGTTGGTTAGAAGCAAAAAAATTTAGTTACAGATTAATAATTGAACCCATATAATTACAAGTCATGGAATTGTATCGAAACATCCTTGTGGAATATATTTTCAGAAATTTCTTGAGTAATTTTATCAGAATCATACCTGCTATTGCTGTCAACCCGTGTTAGATGTACAGGGTGTGAATGAAATCGAGAATACTTGTTTAAATTTACTAAAATGTTTATCACGTTTCGAACAATGAAAATAAAAATAATCGTATCCTTAATATATAAAGAAATAGATTACTCTCTTCCATATTTCTAAAAATAATATTTGGTAATAAATATGGATATACGATAACTAATTACATTTATTAAAATTCAGCGAACCGTTTCCATAAAAAAAAAGGAAAAAAAAAAAAGAAATGTCACCTCTGACATAACAACAAAATTCAAACCATAATGAAATACGGGATATACGATGTACCTCGAAATTCTAGAAAAACTGAAGCTTATTTTCAGTTTAAAAATACGAAAAAGAAAAGATTTAATTCATGTTTGATAGCAGTTTGAAATCCGAGCAATCACCGCGAAAGTCAAGTAAAAAAATTGTAAACTATTATAAAATACATTTTTACGGTTTGAATATTGCATTTTTTTGCATCGTTCACAAATTCAGCGTTTTATCGTCAATAAATAAATTACACAGTTGAATTTGTTAAAGCAAGCGTGAATAACAATTTTTATTACGAATAGCCATCGAGAAATCCTTCATATGTATTTTTTTTTTTTATAAATATCGTGGACCAAATCTTTCCTGAAATGTCATATGAAATCTATTTTATTTATAAAATTGCTCTTAATTTAGAATACTTGATGCAAAATTCAGTAGAAAATTGATGTAACAACTATAGCTGCAAATGTAATTCTCGTTTTTCATTACCACCCTGCGCAAATAAGCGTTTCGTTATACGTATACCCATCGTATACACAGACACGGTACACATAGTTCAAGCGCATGCGCAATAACAAATTAAAAAACGTGAAGTCACATCGCATGACACAGACCTTTATCCCATCGAGTTAGTGCGGTGATACGAAGCTTAATGGTGCAGTAAAGAAAAAATAATAATACAAACACGTGTCCTTTCGTCGCGAATCGCAAGAAATAATTTTCTTTTACATATCCGCGTTACTTTAAAAACGGCGCGCTTTACAAGTACGCGTCGCGAGGAAAGCGTAGCGCGTTTTTGTACCATGAACCAATGCAAATTTCCTCGATGACAAAAAGCGTTGCACGATTTATTCGGCAGATCGATAAACACGGCGAAACAAAAAGCTGTTACATAATCCTCGAAAACCGATTTTCTCTCGCGTACAGATGAGACGAAAGATTGCTAGCGAGACGTTCTCGAATCGGTGAATAATTTATTTGGAAGCCAAAAGTGATTTTGAGTCTCACTTGCTGGCGTATCGTGTACTCGATGACACGAATTCGTCTTATCGCAAGGCCAAGTATCTTGGTTCGTGATAATGACACGTTCAGAAATTCTAAACAAAAGAGGAAAATATCTGTGAAGGTGTACACACTCTTCAAAATTTATTTACGTACAACAAACGTTTGAAAAATAACGTTAATTCATCTATGTATTTTGATACTCTATTTTATTAATTAATCGTAAATTCTCAATTTAAAAATTTAGATTGAATTATAAATCATAGTATTAGGTTCTAAAGACGACTCAAAATCGAAAGGTGAAACGCAGTAAATACAGACCGATTTGAGAAGAAATAAAAATTTAAACTTCTGCGCGTCTTTCTCTCGGAGTTGTCAAACCTCTTTGTTCGCCTGTCTCGAAGAAGATGTATCGCGAACAGAGATACTTTGTATGAATAAAACGAACCCACGTCACCGAGTATGTACACAATTCAAAAGACTCGTGTGCGATCGATGGTCCCGGCGTTGAACACGAGACGGTTCGGGTACTCGTGTGTAAAGAAACGTGATAAATTGTAAATAAATAAACATGCAAAAGAGTAAAAATTGAAATAAATCTAAAGCCTTTACATACCATCTTCTTTACACAAATCAACTGAAATATATTAGGTACATTTTATAATCGTCCAACACAAGGAACACTGATTGTATTTACAAATGTGGGTTCGAAGAAAAAAAAAAAGTAAAAATAAATAAACGAAGACACGATCGTCTTAGAAAAACGGCGCTGGTGAAGGAAAAGAATCGGGGATCGCGCGAATCTTTGGCAGCAGATGCGAGAAATACATAATGTGTCGCGAAATTCGTGAACCAGTGTGCCGAAGAAATTTGTTGACAATCTTTTGATGTCTCGATTTCCAAAAGTTTACCACGAAACGATCTCTAAGAGAATTTTAATATTCGGTAGAAATTTATCTCCTTTGCACGCGTTTCCTACTAAAATTTGTATCGTTTTTTTTTTCTTTCTTTTAATACGATCAATTATGTCTCCAATGGCGTATATATTTTCTAGCAGTTTGATCTAGTCAAGCACGCGACTTGAACGTTTCTATTTACGCATTGCAGGCATTGCGTTAGATGGCGAATTAGCAGAAATTAATTTTGCGACGAGCATAAGAAACGTCGGCGAACAAAATCCTTGAGGCAGAACGATCAGGCAACCAAGGATATTACGTCGATAAATCAAGAACAATATACAATTTTCATAATGTACGGTTCTTATGCGGAGACTTGAGAGAATAGTAAAAAGCGAAGGAACTGAAACGTGAATCCACAATAACGAATCGTAATTACAAAAAGAAAAGTACACCTCCATAGATTCACACATACACATTTGCATTCCGTGAATTATGTACACGAGTACTATTAAAAAATGATTCAAATCGTGTCGATCGCGCGACTCAAAACTCAACTATATTGTTCCTCTCGTACAGCGAATGCGGAAAGCGATTTGCATAACAAGAACGATCGATGTGTCGAAGTTCCGAAAGCGAGAGCTATGAGAGAATTTTAATTTTAAATAAAAAGAAAAAGGTGGAACGTTAAGCATCGGGAATCGATTGATCAATTTCGACATCTCTCTCTCGATCAGATTGTACAGAAAATATAAATAAACAAAATGTTATGATATAACTATGCATACACCGAACTCTCAAATACTCAACATTCCAAATTGTACGAGGTGCGGTGTAATTCGAAGCATAATCGAAGAGGGGTATGATTAGGAGCAAGATATTAGAATTAAGATAAAGAATTATTGCGTGATATCCTTCTAAGCATTTTGGTAAAATTTTGTGGAATAAAATGTTTGGACGGATACCAAGGAATAATAATTCATTTCCAAGAAGCTAATATTGGGAAATATTATATACTAACATTATATAATATTAACATTGTATAAATCTCTATAAGTGAGATGTTGTTTTAGTGAAATTTCAGATTGAACACGAATAAAGGGACAGTGAATAAGTAATCAACTTATAACTGAATATATCAATTATTCATTATAATTATCTCTTTGCACAAGATATTTAAAAAATAAGCATCGCGAGGAAGTAAACAAAATAAATACATTTAATTTAATCACAATGGGACTTTCGCTTATTTTCGAAGAATTAAACGCGTCATCTTCGATTGTACTTCGAAAATCGCACAACAGCTTGTATAAATCCAATAAAACTCATGGCAAACTCAAACTCAAACGGCAAACGCAACGAAAATTACTGCTCATTAGAAGAAGCAACCGTCGTAAGCGGGGAAACGCGATACAATTTGTTTAAAAACACGAAATAATAATCGTACCCAACGTGAAAATAGTCGAAAACCCAACAGAAGCGAGATATCGATCGTGTTCGAAAACGAGGGGAAACGAAAAGAGTAATATGCAAAAGCTTCCAAGCGTAATTCGAACTGCATCAACACACGAATAGTTACGAGCAACAATCATGTATATTAATATCTGGTTATTTAACGGCACATTGAAAACACAGAGCAGAAGTCGCATTCTCTGCTTGCATCCATCCACTGCCAAATTCTCTGCATAACTTCGCTAGGGTACTCGAGGTCCCACGATTGCGTGTGAACCAACGGGGATTTCGTTTACCCTGATTCGATTAACGTTTTTAACGGAATTCGTAGGATTTATTGCTATTCACACTCTCTCTCTCACTCTCTCTCTCTCTCTCTCTGTCTCTCGCTCGCTCTTGCTTCTAACGTTAATCTGTGAATTAACGTGCCAGCAAGTAGCTACCGTCGAATCAATATTGTATGATTTATGGCATCCCAACTCAGCGATAAGTAACCTGCGGACCGTTTTTAAAATGCTGTCAGAGAATTTATAGGCGTATTTTATAATTTATTACGGAGAGGCAATTTTTAACGAACTTGGATTCGCGAACTTCTTACTTGCCATTTTTAATTCTGTTGGAAGTTTCATTCCACGTACATTAATTTATTGTTAAAATAGAATAAGTAAAATGAAGAGCATTATTATTTGTATTATATTAATTTTTCTGTTATCTATCTCTTATTAAAAATAAATCCTGTTATACTATTTAAGAATTTAAATGTTTGTTGTTGATCCTGCTCTTCAGTTGGATAGTTTCTTAACATGATTGCAATTCAAATAAGGATGATATAAAGACAATTTTATTTTAGACGATTTTATGTGGAGAAAATAATTTGAACTTCTCAATAAATAGGATTCTACTTTGTTTAATGGACGTTCAATTCCAGGTTTAATATTTCTGGTCCTGTTTTAATTTTAAATTTTCACATACCCTTTAAATTATACAGGCTTCATATTATTTTTCCTTTGGCGAAACGAACCTGGAAACTGTTCGACAATTTTTTTCACGGGGACATTCAATATTTAAAATGTCCCCATACTAACTCGGTATTTTGGATGAGCTCAGAAAACGTGGACTACGATACTGTATCGCGCACGTTCTTTACTTTTATTTTTAACCGCGGTGAAAGTTTCAATTGCATGCTGAAATTTAAAACAATTTTAATTAAAGCACTTGAAATTTTTCAAACTATGTTAATATTGAGATTAAAAATATGCCTGTAAACTTGCTGACATCATTCCAAAGCCACTCAACGTAGTACGTACGATATATCGCGTAATCTCGGTAAAACATTATTGAATTGTGTGCAAAATGAAACAAATATTTCATTAAATATGTATTCTTTGAATATTTCGCAAGCCTAAATTTTCATATCAATTATTTATTCTTCTATCTCAATTAGATTAATATTTTAATAGCACTTTAATATTTCAACGTTTCTGGAGTTGATAAAGTATTACTGCAAAATTTTAGCCATTGATGACTTCCAACACACTATTGATAGAATCAAACTTCACAAACGATTACAAATTGCAAATTACAAATCGTTAACAAACGATTGAAACAGCACATAATATTGAATCACCTTCCTCATTTCAAAATTAAAAAATCAAGGAATAAATTTACATTTCATTGATTAAATGTCAATAATCTAAACATCAACAGTATTCTTCACTGGTTCAATTAATTTCTCGTCACACGTGTTTGTTGATAGCTGATAGTTTTGAATGGCAGTCACACTAGTTGTTCAAGATAGCAACGGACAGACGTGGTCACGTCAAAACATTCTCCGCGTGTATGCGTGACGTTTCTTGACGGTGACCGTCCGGTTTGTTAATCGATAACGCGAGCGATCGTTCGGATAGAAATTCTGTAAAAGAGTACTTCGATAACCCTTTGACCATCTGGTTTGTGACAATGCAAATGGCACGCAACGAAAGTCAATGTTTATTTTTAAGTGTCAACTATTACGATTGTTTAGTATTTTTATTGCTAATAAAATGAGGTACCTTTATATATTTGCACTGTATCACTTCAGTACTTTTTTTTTTCATTCTGTTAATAATTTTCACATTTAGGCTTATCTAAACAAATATTCGTTTTGTCTGGTAGATTTTGTTTATACTAGGTGATTCTGTGTGTAAAAATACATCGCAACAATACAATCAAATATTTTTGCACAATTGTTCGTTTATGAGATAATTGATTCAGAAGTTCACTGGATGTTTATGTCTGGTTTATATTATTCCTACTAATCTTGGGATTTATAAATATTAAGGGTGGCATAATTTTATTTGTTTATTGTCAATTTTACTTTCTAGATTAGTTTCGACCAGGTAAAGTAAATAATATCATAACGTGGTCATTATTTAGAGAGTCGAGAGTATTGGAACACCAAATCAAGTAGAAAAAGCGAATAATGGTCAGACGGGTCAGACGAGTTCTACTCACTGCGAACTATCAACTAGCCTGATTATACCACTCGTTCCAAAACTACACATATATAACTCTACATAGCTTGTACTCTTTTTCCTCAACATAGTTTATCTCGTATCAGTAATTTAAAAAATATTAATATATTAACAATCAAATATTAACAATCATTGAAAACATTCACCGCGATTAATCAATATATCATCACGTATTCCGTAACTTCTTTAGTTGAATCGTAATCCCGGCAACTTTCGCAGACAAAATTTTGCAGTAAACTAAGTTTCGACCGCTCCAGAAACGAGTGAACGTTTAAAGCGGGTTCTCGACCGTGACGTTTCGAACGATAAAGGAAACAAAGGTCACGAGTCGCTGACTGAAACGATCCCAAACGCTATAACAGCAAAGAACGAAAATCGCAACCTGTCGGCCTCGATAAAGACGATCGAGTAACATCGTAAGCAACTAGACACATCAACAACCAACGGCTAGTAGCTACTGCCACTGAACTCGGGCAAAGAGTCGCGAAAGCTTACCTTTCCCAGAGGCGTGGAGGGTTGTCCGGCAGGGGCTGGATCCTTTATATAGATATTCCAGGTCGCCACACTGTTGATGGCTTTGTCGGCGGCGTAACATCTCCAGAGGCACTGTATCAACATGGCAGCAGCCGGTATCTGTCGATTGAAATGCTTCTGACGTTGCTTTTGTTGGACCTTCAACGCGAAACCGGAGCCCAATATACCCTGAAACGAAGATTTATTCGTCCTTAAAGGTGGTCCTCTACTCCGAAACGCTCCAAACTCTTCTCGTACGTTTCTCTCAACCTTTATCAACTATACTTCTTTGAGCCATGCACGTTCATTAACGCACACATCATCGGTAAACTTGTAATACTTTTATAATATTCTCTTTTCTCAACAGATTCTAGGCAATTCTCATCATTCTTTTGCACCTGAAGTACTGAACATGAATTTTTGAAATTTGGTACATTTGCTTATAAATGTTTGTAGGAGATTTTGTTGACTTATCAATTCTCCTGCTCAATTTTTATCGAAGTTACAAACAATATTCTACGTCACATCAAACGTCCATGTCTTAAAAAGTTGAAAGTGATTTTAGCGAAAAAAGTATTTTAAGAATTAGTTTCTATCAGGATTCTGGTAGATATACGAATTATACTCACAGCTGGAAGTGCGAAAAAGGATATTGCGAATACGCTGAAACACGAAGCGACTATTTTTCCCATCCACGTTTGTGGGACAGTGTCACCGTATCCGATCGTGGTCACGGTGATCTGAGCAATACAAAAAAAGAACCCTCTTATAGCACAATAAAACAAATAGCATTATAGGTAATTGTTTGTAGAATTAATTTCACAAGCAATATAGTAAAACGAATAAATACGTCTTATTTATATAGAAGTAATAAATGTGTATTCAGAATGTATCGAGAAAAGTGAAAAAAACATGAAAGTAAATACTGGTGGTAAGAAAGTAACGCTGCGAGCATGTTTCGAAGTAAACTTCTACGTAACTTTATATTTCCGCTAACAGGGCACTTAGGATGATGTACTGTTCAGACAAAAAAAAGATACTAGAAGAACTTCGTCATGCTGTCTGAAGTATCTTAAAATTGCTGTGGTTGAAGTTATTTGTCCAACTCGCATCTTATAAGTAATCGAAATAAATGTTAGAAATATGTTTTCATAAAAAAAAAAAAATGATGATAGGAATCAGCAACAATGAATACTACAATATTATTTGGTTTAAGTAGTCTACGTAATCATGTAATACACGATTCCCTCTGAAAGTATTAATAAACTGTCTATTTTACAATCAGTGCAGTAGTAACAAAAACATAGGACAAAAGTACCCCGAAATTCCAAAATTCGAATCGACGTCATACGATATTTTCATGCATTCGCTAGCCGCAAGCGGCGTAATCGAAGCTAAATGAAAACACAACGTTACCGAAACTGAAATTCGATGGCGTTCATCATCGCTTTGAATCGAATCAACCCGGTTGTTTTGAAATTCAACTGAAAACGTCTCGATTGTGCAATTTTCACTCGTCAAAAGTCGAGAACGACGGTGAGAATCAAACAACAATCAAACGGTCGCAATCCACGGGACGACATTAACACAACCGCATTTAAATCCACACTCATTCGTGCCCGCTTTAATCGATCGCGCATTCATCGTCACTGGAACTCCAAATACAGGCATATTTTCCGAATGATTAGCGTCCACCGCTTAATAAACATTTGCGACCGGCACCGCGCATACAATTAAGCCCGTACACTACGTTCAACGAAACCCGTTCCAGAGTAACGAGCGAAACGGTGGACTGAATTAATTATTCGCGCTAATAGAAACCGAACGAGCTGGACGCTTATTAGACCGAGATATGTACATACATACGAATGCATTCTGCTTATTTAATCGAATCTTTCGTGCTGGTAATTTTTACACGTTCGTAGAAAGAATTTAATTTTACAAAATTTTCATTTGGGTATATTTTCGCGTCGTCCAAAGTAAATTGAATGCAAATTGCCAATTTGTTTAATGTCCTTTGAACAATCCTTTGTCCTGAGTAATAGCCCGCTAATCTTTGGAATGTATTCCAAAGAAACTTCATATTCAAATTTTATATTCTCATCTCAAGATCTTATTTAAATAAATTCGATCGATGGTTAAAGATGGTTATCTTTGTATTAACCCTCTTGTATATTTTTCCTTTTTTCAGTCATATATCTAAAACTTCGAAAAATGTCAAGAAATGATTCAAGTACATTTTAAAGGTAATTAAATTCTACAAAAAAATAATTTTGTAACCCTTTACAATGTTAGTAACATACGTTAGTATGCTGGGTTGAAATTTTTCTTCTGCATCGAGAATCAGTAATAACTATTTCTCAACACTGTTCTGTCCATTTCTAGAATAATATTCATTTTCTATCGAAATATCATTACAATACAGATACAATATCTGTATCTTAAACACCGCTTACATGTTTATTAAAAAATCTTTTTAAAAGTAGCACAGTAAGCTTAAAAGGGTTAAGAATCACTGGTCTACGCTGTCGCGAGTTAAGCTTGAAATTCGCATGAACGAGCGAAAAGCACGCCTATTAGCGGCTGCGGGGAGTCCTCGGTGATGGATAAAAACGCATTTATCGCCGCGCAGCATAGTGGATGCATCGTTTCGCAGATAATTGCTGCACTCGTCATTTACACGGCCGGATGAAATCGACGATGAATGAAAAATGCATTCACGAGTGCGCGCCATCGATGGATGAAAAAGAAAAAAAAAGAAGCGTGACGAAGGAAAACAGTACATGAAAGTGGGGTAAATGAGCATCAAGATTTATCGATAGGGAGCAACCGATTGAAGGATGCTTTCCGCGTATTCTACCGCAACGAAAATATTTTTCCCCTTGAAAGGCAATTCCGAACGATGTCAACGATCACTCGTCCAGTTCGTAACGAGTACGTTGAATATTATTATTATTAAAAGTTTTTTAAAAGTGAACGAAAAGATACAAAGGGAGGGAGGGATGAAGTAGCTTTTAGGTCCAAAAGATTCACAGAATTATAGTAAAATATTTTTCAAGGGAAAATTTAAAAATAAAGCCATGTGGATATAAAATTGATATTTCTATATTTCTCACGGCTTTTGAAAATTGTAGGTGGCAATATTGGAAATATTAACATTTTTTAACGGCAGTAATTAAAGGACTCTGATGCACAGATGGCAGTTGTTAAAAGATCATATTCTGTGAAATGGAGAAACCGTGTAATTACACAAAATTATTAATAACGATCTACATGATGAACACTTACTAAGATAATGAAGGAGAAATAATAGCACTATGTTAAATTATAGAAGCATCTAATTATGATACAACATAATACAGGACCACATAAAAAAATTAAAAGAAGCGACAAATAACAAGCATTTAGGAATAATTATATTTACCACTCCCCACCACAGTGCGTCGGCGTAGCTGGAAAAGTCTGTTTTTCCATCGGGCCCGACAGCATCTTTTTCGGCAAGGTACACGAAGTAACTGCTGAAAATAAGACCTAGGAACCCGATGTATAACGTCGTGATCAGCTCCTGAAAGTTACGAAGAAGAACCATTTAATACAGTTCTTCTTTGCACCATTATTATATTATAATCCGATTAAATCTCTATATAAAAAAGTATAAATAAAAAGAAAAGTCGTATTTAAAGAAATTAAATTTATAAAATATAGTTTCGAATATTTATAATTTCGTCAATAAACTGATATCCTGTTCCGTTTTATTTGCATTTTCCTTTTATTTTACGTTTGGATAAATTAATATAATTAAGTAACTGACAAATTACAGGCATTTTGTGTTATTCGTTGGTTTATATTGTTTTCCGAACAGAATGCTAGGATATCGATTTACATGGTATCCGGAGGAACTAATTTTCCTTGTAAATCGGAGGACAGATCTATTTTTCTGTAATTTCATTCGGCGACAACTGAAAATGCATCGCAGAAAGCTGCGGCCAATTTACGTGGACGATCGAAGTTCGTTTGCCGTTGGGATTGAAAATCAAGCTATTCGCAGACCAACGAACTTCGTATCGAATAATTTTCCGATAGTAAACGTTCATGAAACACCGATGAAAGATTTCTTTTAAAGTAGGTGGGACATACTGTCGTTCCATTAATCAACATTTGAAATTACTGGGTATTGCTTGGGTATCGTTGCGACATTCTCTTTTATTTTGTAGCACGGTGTATCCATTGATGATATTCTCATGGAAATACAACGATAAATATACAAATTCCTATTTTTAGTAGATTAAATTCCATGGTGTATAGAACACCAATCTTTTCATAATAAAAATTGTATGCAAACGACAAATAAATTTTAATTGTCAATACTGGATGAACATCATTACATTCACCCTATAAATAAACAAACAATGCTTATAAGCAAAGAGGTACTGTATCGAATTTTTATATAAAGTAAGGATTAATTTATTATTCACCGACATACCTGACGATGAATGAAAACGACAGAACCGAGAAGTCGCCACGTGCCACCTTGTCGATCGACGTGGAGCATTCGTAGTATTTGCAAAAATCGGATGCCCCTTATGGCGGATGTGGCAAACACCTGACCGTTGCTTCCCACCGACAAAACCACCATAGATGCGACCACCACGATTAAATCTGACGACAGTAAAATTTCTCTTTAATTACACTAATAATAAAGAAAAAGACAAATTTGCTTTTGTGAAAAAGGATTTAGAAGTGAATACTTTTAATTTAAAATATTGGAGTTAATTTTATTAAGTGTACAAATCACCTGTAATTTTTATTAAATGCTTATGTAAAAAATGTAACATCATGAAGATATGGAAAATGATTTTTATTTTTAATGTAATAAATAAATATTTATACCTTTTCCCTTTTCCCTATTTTTCTATTTATTTCATAGTATGTTCCTGTTTCAATTTGGTAAAGATCAGATTTAGTCAACTTGTATTCTTTGGTTAGATGTTGTTTGGTTTGGTAAGTTACTATCACTTTCCCCATTTTTTTTAAGGTTTTCATTGATACGAGACCTGAGCCAAATGGCTTGCTTACGCCGCGCGCTGTATAATAACCGGTTGATGCGTGGCCGATGACATTTCACTGCGTGACGTCCCACAAACTTGAATATTGCATGGAAATCGATCGCGTGGAATTGGCCCTACCAATAAACACGCGATGCCTGATCCGATTAATACCCGGCTCGATGTTACAATTTACTCGGCCGTAAAGAACACTCGCGAATCACGTCGCGTTACCGCAATCGTTTCTAATCTAACGAGCCTCGATGAAGCGATCTTACCTATCCTTTTACGCGGATTAATTACGCGCTCTCTGGCGAAAAACGTGATCGATACGGAGTCAACGTAAAGCGACTCGAGGAATTACGGAACCGTTCCACGGAACTGTTAGAAATTATGCGACGGAGAATAACATCTATGTTTCTGTATAAAAGCACGATACGAAGTTACGAACCCTTTTGGTTCTTCGTTATCGTGCCTTCGCACTCGAGAGGAATTGATGAAGAGACACCTAGTTTGACAGAATTTTATTTATAGTGTCATAATCATTAAAAAATTATTAGTGATAAGTAGATCAAAGAAACTTTATCTTAGCTGGTAGTAAAAGTGATTAAATCTAATAAATGGTAACATTTGTCAAAAGAAGCTTTATCCAAGGTTACAGTATAAGACGTGAACTTGTAGAAAAATTGTATTTCTGTAATATACATTCTTTTTGAACGAGTCCACATTCAGTATCATTGGATGTTCCATGGAAGAGTAACATTTTATAAAAAAATGGAACATTGCATCAATACGAGATATATTCCATCTACTGTCAAATCGGAGTTAGATGACGAATGGCGTGGTGCTGTACATCAGCCTTTGCTGTCGAAAATTTAATATTTATGGATGATAAAATGTCGAAATACATCAAAATTCCACTAGAGTTTTGTAAAAATAAAGTGAAATCAGTTCCTCGACTATTGCCAACATTAAATAAAGTCATTGCCTCTCTATCAATTCGATTCATTTATTTTAATTTTCCCACTCTATCAACAAAAATTGGCTGAATCGTAAAATGTACAATTCTAAATGACACTCACAGGATATTTTATTTTTTATACGAAAATTCATACGAAATTTAGACAACGAAAAGTATAGTTGGAAAGGCAAACATCCAGGAAGATAATAATAATTAAATGTTTGTTTATCCCAGCTTGAAAATATTCGACTGGCAACGAGAAACATGGCAGAGATGTAACGGGTATCGATACACGCGATAATTGATGGGCGCAGCACGGCTCGAAACAATTTTGACTAGATGGAAGTTTTGACCGGAGGTCGAGTCGGCTTGCGACACAAAGAGGCTACATTCCCGATCCAATTCTGGGCCACGACAACTGGACAATGCGCATATTGGATTAGCTCGAGCATTGCGTGATTGAAGTGGTCTCGGTACGCATTAGGGGGACGCACTCACCTATGATACAAATCGGCTTCCGTATGAATCGCAGTCTGCCGCAACAACCCATATACTTCGATCTGCAGCCTGCGCTCCATAACCTCACCATGTATTCCACGCCGAAGAATACCACCAAACATATTTCCTGGAAATGGATAAAAATTCATTCGGTGAATCATAGGCTCTCACAGTTATATTATACGTGCTTATTTCTTTAAACATCGAATAATACTTTTCTCGTTAATATTAGGCACAGAAATTAATTTCATACCTTTCTAAAATGAACTAAACATGACAAGATCATTTATTTATAAGGAAAAAACATATTCTAAGAAAGCGTATATAATTGTAAAATCAAACGTCGAAGAAATCTGTGTGTTTTATTACTATGGAGATTGATACTTTAATGTGATATTGAGTAAATATTTCTGTTCCGAATGGAGTTATAAGTAATTAAATATGGAGACAGAGAATTAATTTCTACACCTTAATTAATTCCCGTTTTTTTTTTGTCTTTACTTTATTTATAAACCTGTACTCCATTCTGGAGTATTCGTGACTATGTTTCGGTACTATACTGTCATACACCACGCAAATATAATATTTCTATATTATGAAAGATACAAGAAATATGTTAAACCTAAAGTTAAATATTAGTATTCAATCCTATATAAAATATAAATTGCTTAACAGATGAGTTATTTTATTAATTTAAAGGATGTATGAATAAAATGTACACAATATCGTGCGTGTTCTCTGAAAACATGACGTTCGATTCTCAATATCATTGTACAATATCAAATGTTCACTTTAAATTTTATACAGCAATTATTCAGGTACAATATGTTCTCTATACGAAAATTTCACGCAACCAAATATTTCCAATTAAAGTATGAAAAACGTATAGAATTCATACACCTCCTGAATTTATTCAATTAAAATTTGTTCACAGCGGTGAAATAAAAAACCGAAGTTGTCCATACTTGTTAACCAATCGAAATAAAGGATGTTAAAGGACGCGAAATATGAAACGAAATGGCAAATGATAAATGGCAGTTAAAAGAGTGGATACGAGAGGAATTCTGTGAATAAAATTCCAGTTAAAAAGGTTTGGAGAACAATTATACCTATAAAGATAAAACAACGTGCGCGTCGAAACCGCGATGCTTAGACACAGCTAAATGAACAAATCAATACGCGAATTGTGGACAGGAGAAATGTAAAAATAATTGCCTTGGTGAACCGGCAATCGTAATAGCGAGGAGGGCATTTCCGTGATGACGTTCTATGCTAGCCCAGTCATTAATTCCTCGTTCCTAAAATAAATGTGCAACGAGTGCTACGGTATATAGAGATGTTATATCGATTGTACGACCTTTATTTTAACGCCACGACGTTGTGGAAAAATGGGAACATCGATGACAGAATCGTAATGTTTGGGAATATCGTGATATTTTATCAGGATTTCAGACTCGTTTCGGGAAGGTCACTATCACACGCGAATTATGCCACTGTCGGCGAATTAAAACTAATGACTGGTCAGAGCACTTACAAACGCTGGGTAATGCGACAATTATTCTAATCTTCTATTGTTGTTTACAATGTATATAATTAGAATACTGTCATAGCAATAATCAAGTATTTTCTATTCAAGTGTCTAGTTGTTTTTATTTTCATCCTAAGCGACCTTAAATATCTTCATCTTTTGAAAATGAATTCTCTCATCTGTTATATCACACTAGTACCTACCAATGTTTTCTTATATTTTAAATCGCATACAATTGGCACTGTGCTAATAGAAAGAAACGAATAAAATTTCTAGCAAATGAATAAAATTTCTTTATAACCTAATCTTCTGTGATTAATTCAATTCTGATTAATTCAACTCCTATTTGACGACCTATAAATACCTAAATCACCCCTCTTTCATCTATTCCTCGAACCACGTATTTTCTAATAATTATTATTACGACAAGGGGTTTCGCTGACCGAAAGAAATTAAGCAGAAATGTTTTCTGGAAAAAGGAACTGCTAGGTGGACTGTCTCACGACGCTATTTTTAGGACGTCACGTGGCAGAAAGTCGGAAGCCAGGGGCAGCCTGTCATTAGGGCGAAAACGCCAAGTTGTCAAACCTCGTAATATGCGCGTAAAAAGCTTTCCACGGTGTGTACCCGAGGTACATAAGGAGAATCTACGAACCTCCTGACAATGGACGAGGACAAGCATACACGGAACACCCCTCGAGTAGGGGCTGGCACGTGGGGGCGGTTGCCAGTCCCTCCACGGTACCCCAAACTTCTATATTCTTTATTTCCTGACATTTGCATAATGGCTTGGGCAACCAAGTGACGGTTTCGTGTCGCTAGGAATCTCGTAAGCGAGGCGGAATTCCAAATGCTTGGAAACCTTCGTGAGCAAATTGTCGTGTGATCTTGTCTCATTCTGGTTAAGCTGTCGTCAAAGATTAATTGCAAACGTCGAGTTGAAAGTCGATTGTCAGATTCTTTGTTATAAATCCTACTCACAGAAGTAAAGGCAAGATTTACGTTTGGTTTATCGAAACGTTGCATTTGAATGTTTATAGTAACATACGGCTTTTAGTATTATTTAAAATAAAATAATACCTGCAGCATTGAAGATTCTATCATTTCAATTCTATTAAGAATTTCAAAAAATCTTTTGTATTGACACCTTTCATGTATTATTCTTCTATTTTTGGTTTCCGTAATTTACATACTGTAACTTAATTATCATTTGGTAATTCCATTCAGTTTATACGAAAAGCTGTAACATAACTTCAAGCACCAACGTATACCTTAAATTCTAATCAGAAGTGTCTTTACTATATGACACGTGATACAATGTAATTACGATGTTCTTATCACGTGAATTTAAATATTATAGGACAAGCATTATTCTAGATATTATCCAGTGTCCTTCATGAATAAAGTATGACTGAAGACAGTGTGAAAGTGATATAAAATAATTGACTTTAAAATATCATGCGCACATACGTTATCATGAAATCAGGAAGGTTTACCTTGTTCTTTCAGACCATACACTTCATTATTCTATTCTTGCACACAAGCCTGCATCATATATCAACTTAGAGAAGTACCTGTAATGATCGTTTCGCGTGTTTTGCAAAATCGTGTTACCCATCTGCAAAATATTTATCTTCGCCAATACGGGAAACAAGAGAAACATTATTGACCAGTATATTCTTTGGTCAAGATTAAAAAAACATTTCTGTATTTATATTCAATCCTTCGCTTACAGAATTTTTCAGTTGACCTATACTCTTTATAAAAAATATCTATTCTTTTGTTAAACCTTTGTTACTTTCTCTGAGTGATAGATAATATTGTTTAATAATTATTATAGCCAAATAGCATATACTTTTTCAAAACAACTAAATAAAATTTCATAAAAAATAATATAATAATAAAATATATATATATATTTTTGAGTTCCATATTACTTTTCCTATTTTTATATATATATGTTTTTGAGTTCCATATTACTTTTCCTATTTTTATATATATATGTTTTTGAGTTCCATATTACTTTTCCTATTTTTGTCTTTATATATATATAAAATGAATTTTATATTGAATTTTATATTAATAATGGTAAAATTGAACTGGATAATAATAATATCCTGAACGTAATAAATTCGAAACAGACCTGTCGAATAATTTAGAAAATAATGTAACTATGGTCGCGAATACGTCCGTATGAAGTCATTGGTCGATGGGAAATTAAAAATAAAATCGTAACACACCGATTGAATATTACAATTCAATTCGCACGAGAATAATCGAAAATTAAACATCGAGCCGTGGTACATAAAACTCCTATTGTCCGCGTTATTTGATTACATTCAACTGCCGACGATGGAAAACATTTGCGGGGAAAAAATCGTTACATTTGGTCATTCCAGTACTCGAAGAATTTAATAACTGCAGTCGGTCCGTTCGCATAAAAGTTTCCATCGCTGTTCTTTACGTAAAATTTCTCATTCCGCTTCGGGAATGTACAAACGACTTTTCATCTCTTCGTTAAATTCCGTTCTCGTCGAATTTCCTTGAACGTTCTCAAACGCTTGATTCGATCAGGTATTCCTTTAAAAATTACGCAAACGAAAGCTTTCTGTTTGCACGATTATTACGCTCGTTTGGTAATTCGATTCGAGAAAACGAGCGAAGGAACAGAATTTCCTAAGTATCTGAACTCGTTCGAGTAACTGTTTTCTTGGCAAAGTTACAAAAAGGGGGAGCAATAATTTACCAATTTGGATAATAAAATTTTGTCTGTATAATCAGTTGATCAAATGTCAGGAAAATGATTTGTTTTTAAACAAATTCATAGACGTGTTAATTCTTCCATCGAGGTCCTCTTCGGGAAACCGCTTTTGATCAAAGCTTTTGATCAAAGTTACAGAGATAAATAATTAAATACCTAAGTTAGGTAATTAAATACCTAGGTAGAACTTACCATCCAGAACAGGGTTTCGTTCGCGAAGTTACTGTACTGGTCTATGGTTGACAGAACACTAAATATGAGGCACACCAATACCACCATGAACCTGAAAAACAAGAGGTCTGTGTCAGCATATATTTTTAATAAACATAATTAAGTTGTTAATGCAGTATCCGTTAGAAACGCGATGCGTAATATTCAGGCTTCGTCTAAATACCAAGTATCTCATTTTCGCCAGACAATTAATACAATTTTATTTTATGAACTTCTAAGACGATTTAATGCAACAAGTGGAAACGTCGTTCATAAACTGCTCTCAACAAGGACTGAATTGGTTATTCATCCCTTAATTTCACACAAGGAATCGTCCTTTGTTGAATTCAATTCGTTAAATGATATTCTTTGTACATTTCTGTAAACACATACAAATTTCAATGTACATTTTGATCTGTGTGTGCTAAATATATATGTTGAATAAAAATGTATTTCTATAATTATCTCAAGGTATATGTCGCATTATTATACTGATATTAACAATTAAGGTATGGAGTACATAGTATAGAATCCAGGTCACTAGGAAGACTATACAAATCGAATTGAAGGCCTGATAACAGGGCGATGGTAATGTCTTGACTGAAAAGGTAAACATTTCAATTAATGAAGCTGTTTTCTTAAGAAGACTGTTCGTCTCTATTTCAACCGAAGCAAATGGGCATTACACGCGTTGTCACTGTTTCTGTTGTCATCGTAGTACCAGATACATTCAGAATTTAAGGTTTCTCGTTTAACATGTCCTTCTATTTTTATTTGTATAATATATTTATCGTTTTAACAGTTCTCCAGTCCTCAACAAAAGAAAAATATTTTCGCCCCCTAAGCTCAGGTATCCGCCATCGAAGAAATAGAACGTATCGAATAATTTAAGCAATTTTACCCGAGCACGGTGTTTGTAACGTTTCTTATTCGATAGGAGTCATTTGGCGACATTCAAGCAACCTACGGAAAGGGTCTGAAACGTTCGAGGCCACAGAATTTGATCGCCACCCCCGTTTTCTGGCGAATCATCGTCGTTGGATATTCATGAAACGCTCGAACGCGTTACTTTCGTCGCGGTGCTCGTTATCGGGCGACTGGCGATCGGGTCACGGGGAGAGGTACTTATTTATAAACACAGGGAGTATGCATGCATTACGTATAGATTTTCAACCGTTTTATCATCGGGACATTTAGAGGCGACGCCGGCGCTCCTAACTAGGGCGTCAGCGACACGTGCTTCCGAGTCTTGCAATTCACGCGGTCCCCTGGCGAAAAGACACGGCCGACAACGCGTTTATTTTTAGAGAAAAAGCTTTTCCCCGTCGCGAGCTGCGATACGCTGTCTTGTCGCGACCGCCGCTTGCCTCCAGCCGACTCGCGTGTGCAAGCTTTCGCACAATAGCGCGAAACCGGCTCTCGGAGCACGGAATAATATAAAACCAGGTTCAATTGTCCGCGACAGATGAATTCTGTTCGTAATGAGACCTGAAGTGGATTGTAAACGCGTTCGATTGCAATTAGCGAGCACCGTTAATATAATCCACGAGTTACATTATGCAGTTGAGAGTCAAAATAAAAAAAAAAGAACATCGTAACAAGGTACAAGTTAAAAGCTTTTATCGGTACCAATAAATCAATGCTGAACATTCATTGATACATTTATTTCATTAATACGATTAAGTGAATAATTAATTGAAAATGCATATACTGAACTTAGACAATTTTTAACATTTATTTATTTGATGAGTACTATTGAAAGCTTTTGGTTTCTTTTGGTTGTATAAATGCTTGGACTGTGGATGTTTCACATGTACAGATAAAAAATTAAAATTCACGGTGTCTTCATACATTTTCCTACATTTCCACTTTTCGTACATTTATAAGTTTAAAACGGTTCTTTAAGAGTCATAATGGATTCAACAGATTCATTAATATTTTAGAGACTGTTCTGGTTAACTCCTCAACCTTCTGATAATTCATAACACACTGTCTGAGGTTATTTTAGTGGAGTAATGTACCTTCCAAGAAATTTTGTATTGGATCATATTTGTGCAAGATTTGTAGACTAATCCAATCTACTTTCAGTCGCTTAATTCACCCTTGAATCTCTTTAAATGTCTCAGTCGAGTAAGATTAATCATAACACCAAATAATGTACATCTTTACTCTAAACGAATCGATATGATCCCAATTTAACAACCCATTTCATAATTCTAAACTTCCTTATAAATCTAGCTTCCAATAACCGCAGAATTAACTACCAACGACTATTTTTATTATCCCAGTGCGTTAAACCACGGAACAGAACTTTCCAGGATGGATTAACTTCGCAATCGCGTAATTAATCGTGTCCCAAAGTTGGGCAAACATATACAGTCCGTTGTGTACATTGAGATAACTCTACTCCGCAGGATACGAGTCTCCCTCTAAATTACAGTAATTAACATGACGTTTAACCTTTCGGTTTGCTATGCGCATACCTATTTGGCGAGCATACAATTCGCTCGAATTCTAAAGACGTTCAGTGACACGACACCGCCGTTATTCATCCAAACAGAAAGCTCTCAAGTGAATGAGACGAGATGCTTTTGATTTTTGCGGTGAAATCGGTCTTAATAATCAGCAACGTTAAAGGTATTATTACAATAAGGAAGCTTCATCGCGGAAGCTGTTGCTTTCAAATAATTTATACTGTGAATGAGGACTTTATGTACATTAATAAACTTTAATCTGGATAATTTATACCTCTTTCATTCATATTTGCTTTGTTATCTTAGAATATGTTTTACCATAAAAAGCATCGCGTGAAAGAATTATTTTTACAAATTCTTCATCTCTATTAACTCTATCATTTCTATGAATATAATTTCGTGTTATCGTTTAATTTTTTTTAATCATGAGATCATGTTTGGGGAGGATTATTACACGTGTATGTATAAAATATACATAGGAAATGTAATAAATATATATATAAAATATACATATACATTTTGTTTAAAAAAATATATGTCTATTCATCTTTCTAGATACTATCTTAACCTTAATATTATTTTAAATAGTTATATTAAGTATATTTTCTTCTTCATCCTCATAATTTTCATGTCGCTAATATCTTCCAGCTGAACTCTAATGTATGGTTTTAGACAACAATTAATCTAATTGCTAAGTTAATGAGCTTTGACGAAATTACCTTCGCATTTAGATTTTACTCTTGACGCGTTAAAATCTCGTGAAAGCGTAATCTGATCATGTACAGCACCTATACCCGCATAAGTATTGTTGTAATACTGACGGTGCATGAATAATCGAATCTACACTGATTTCAAGTGAACAACGAAGACCGTAATTACGGCGTGTTGATCAATTATTTGCTAAATTACGCTGCGTTTGGGTCACGAGTGCACACATTAATAAATCGATCGGTGCAACTGAAACTGTTGTTTCGCGTGTCTCGAGATTTTCGCTGCGAATGTTGCATTGCAGTCGAGCTGAATAAACGAATAATTCGATATTCAGGCAATACTTTTTCTACTGAAATTTATTTAAAGGCATAAATACAGAAGTATTCTGAATGTTAACAATCACATTTTTAATTATTAGCGAAGTGTGATAATATACAACAAAATATCTGAAGTTTCGCGATGATGTTTAATATTATCTACCAGTAAAATAAAATTAATCCAGTGAATTCTCTTTTTCGATAATGAAAAACAGTTGAAGTAAAAAATTTGCAAAAAGTCTAATTTATGACACATTGCTCTTAATAATAAAGAAGAAGATATTTAAGAACATTTACGCAACCAGATTAATAATCACGAGCACCTGCCTTAATCGCCTGTTAAACAAAATAAACTTGTACCATCGTAACACGATCGTCACAGTTCCGCGAAACTCTCTGGAAATTCAAAATAAGAATGATTTCAACAAAGCATAGCATAGACGCGGCTTCGATATTGTACCGTGAAGAAGCGAATATCTCAATCTGTCAATCCCTCGCGAGTTATTCATAAAACGGTATTCCCGCAGCAATCGTAGCCCCTAATATATCGCGTCAGGGAAGTTTGACGCGAACCCCAATCACTGAAGCGACGACGGGAGATATAATACATTGTTCAGAAAAGTTTCTATCGCCCCGGCGAGATATTCTCCATCGGAAAACTGCTTCGAGCTAGTTTGACCCGTGTGGCGAGACTTCGGCCAGTTCTGGACTCATTGATCTCGAAAGTTATTCAAGAACGAAGAGACGTGACATGTGGCTGCTTATGTTATCGACCGACTTACCGAGTTGAAGTAAAAGTTATGCGCTGCAGCTTGTAACACTGGTTGTTAGATAAATATAGCAATATCTACTGCTCGACGCGAAGGTTACGCGTACATATCGCGTTGCCATTGAGCACTCGTTCGAGTGGAATGATGAATAATGTCGCGTGAGACGTGCAAACGTAAGAGTCTTGCTGTTACGGGTCGGCGATGGCCATGGAAACTGCATCTTTATAATAGGGGTTGATGCGTGTCTGGATACGTTGCTATGCAAAGTATAAATACAACTTTGGAAAGTTTACTGTAACATAACACAACATAACACGACATAACACACCATAATAAAGCATAACACAACATAAAACCTCGAATCGCGATATAAAACGACGTGATACGTTTAAACGCAACACAACAAAGCATGACGTATTATAACATAATATAAAAATGGCATTAGACAATATAAGACACTACAACACAGCATACTACAACGTAACACAGGCCAAGGAACAATGGTAAGGACGACCCATTTGGTTTGGCCACGATCCAAATAAACTACGAGTCGTAGAACACTGACATTCATAGGCATAAACTTGTAGATAAGAAATATTATCCAGAGGTCCAGAGTTGTTGATGATGGACTCAGAAATCAAGTGAGATAATCTATACAACGTGGAACTATGATAGGGACAATTCTTAGCTTTGGACTCGATCCAAGTAAACCGCGAGTCATATTGTAATACTTTGAGATGCTTCAAATTATTTTTTATATAGGAAGTATCCTTATTTTTTTTCCTTTCAAAAAGTCACTCC